CCATGATTAGCTTAAAGTTTGAGAGAGGAAATGGAGAAATAGGGGAGTGAAAATAGGGGAATGTGTACAATGATAGCAATATATAAAACCATATCCGGCACATCCTTCGCCTTATCCGCCCATACCGGATCAATAAGCTGCGCCAACGCACCCCCAAACGGATTTGCCAAACTCATCACAGCCGTCGCCGCGACTCGACCGCGGTTCGTAAACCACAAGTCCGAGTATCTCGTCGGCGCAGCCAACACGAACGGTTGCGCCAGACCCGTCAATATCTGTCCAAACATCACCCCTCCGAAATTCCCATTCGCCCCGGACCGCGTAGCACCATAACGGATCCAATTCCCCAGCAAAAGCAGTACTGATGCTGTGACGATAGATGGCCGCGGACCTCCGCGGTGCAGCGTGAAGACGACGAGGGGCGACGCAACCACAAAGGCAAATAGGAAACCGGTACTGAGCCAATTGATATTTGACTCGGTCGTGTCGTAGTATTCTGAGACAGTAGCTGAGTTCGCCGCAAATGTAAGCCACTGAAATACCAATAATTAGCTATCGTATACGTGATATCCAGACGAGGGGAAAGGGAAAACTCACGTCCCAACTGACAACGATATTCAACAATACCAATTGTACGAGTCCGAACCAGCGCCTTTTGTACACTTTATATTCAACCACATCCTCTTCCTCTCCTTCCACCGTTCCATCGAGTTGTGTATTTGCCCCACCGTTGCTGTTGGGGACGCGCTGGCGCTGTACTTCGTCTTCTTCTTCCCCCAGTAATTCGTCGTCGCTGCGTACTTCACCCAGTACATCCATATCCCCAACTCCTCCTTCGCCGTCCCCATCCCCATCCCTATCTGCACCACCACTACCATTCGTCTCCGTGATTTTGAAATCACCATTTCCGTTCCCTTTCCTATCCGCATTCCCATTTCCATCCACCCCATCCACACCTCCATTCGTATCTGTACCAGTACCCATCTTCATATTATTCCTCCGAGCTCCCTTTTTCAAACCCCTCATTTTCAACGGCCGCATAATAGTCCAACCCGGTACCGCTTCTCCATATGTCCCCGTCCCCCCTACAACGACCTTCTCATTCGATTGTACTGGCGGGATAGCTTTGACTTTAGCTTTAACTTTGGCATCTGCGTCTGCGTTTACGTTAGGTACATTTGCATTGTCGGTGTTGGGTGATTTTTTGCTGGGGTCATCTAGAGCTGCTGATGTCGCTGTAGCTATTGCCCCAGATTTCTCGGGCGGCATACTTGTAGCGCCGGGTGTTGAACCGAGGCTGGCCGAATCGAGCGGTTCTTGTTTTCATGTATAAATAAATGTTACAATATACAAGTCATTGGAAATGTAAATAAAGGATTAATAAATAATACTACGGTCCTCGGATTAGATTTATTGGGGTCTTCTATAAGTAAGGAGTTACGAGAGGGGAAATGCCGGCCTGAAATGCTACGTGTAAGTGGTTGCATTGAAAACAGGTCGCAAGATAAGGTCTCGTGCTTGCAATGGTGTGGTGAGGTAAAAGCCCAGTTGCCTTTTTGGTGTGGTACGATCGATGTGCCTATTGGTTTACAGAGATACAAAAGGTACATGCATATCTCTCCCTCGGACTTTCACAAGCAAGCAGATGCTAGGTATCCATGCTTGATATCTGACCTGGCCTGGGCTGGGTTATCGTCGCAAGCAGTAAGGTATCATTGCTATAATGATAACAGATCTTGATTGTGCAAGCTTGGGGTAAGGGATGGTGAACAGGGCCAGAGAACACCTTCTATTTTCTTTCTTTCTTCCTATACTACATGCAAGGACGGCGCAGAGGACATATGCAGTTTGCGTGTACAAAAACAACGGTTTGCCAACCCACTCCACCTCCAGTTCACCTCCATTCATCTATACTCGAGCAGGCATGAGCTCGATATTGTCGGTTCTTTACTTGAGGGCAGCCCAGAGCTTTGGGGCTGCACATTGGTTGGCGCAGTGGGCGAGGTGGAAGACTGTTTGCATGTTAGGGAGAGTAGAGGATGCGAGAGAGGATGCGAGAGGATGCGATGGGGAGACGTACATTCTTCAACACAGTCCTCGTGAGGAGCCTTGGAATCGGTGTTGCCGGTGACACGCTCGACGCACTCTTCGAAGTGGTGCTTGGATGGAGCGCAGGCCTTAGATTCCTTGCATTCTGTGGTGAGTTAGCAAATGTCTCGAATTTATATATCCGCCAAATATCCCAGTTCCTCTGGCCGTAGCCCTCGACGCATTTGCAGATCTTCCTTTTCGCCAGTTGAGCAGAATAGTAGCCTGAATAATCCCCAACTATCCACCACACAGCTGCCAGCTCTAGCCAAGAAAAATATAACTCACCCTCCTCGAAAGTCTCCTTAGGATCAACCAACTCCTCCTCCTCTTCTTCTTCTTCCTCTTCTTCCTCCTTCTCGCCACCCTCCTCCTTATCCTCACCCTCATCACCACCTTCATCCTTATCATCGGGCGTTGATTCGGAGTCCTATGTATACCCATTAGCCCATATCCTGAATCCCAGCCTCCACTTCAAGCCCAAGGAGAGATAGAAGCTACAGAGACAACCCATAACAAGATGGTCTAGAGTAGGAGCCTCTCTCACCTTCGCCTCACCCCCCGAGTTGGCCGGCGTGCTCTCCGTACTCGAGCCCCCGCTCACAGCCTCCGCCTCGCTCTCGCTCCACGGCATTGCCGCTGCCACAATATCGAAAAATCCCATCTTTACGCAAGCGATTGATGTCGTGGGAAGGGTGGTTGATGACTTGCGGTAAATGTTGACAGGTAGATGTGTGTTTAGGGCGAGAGCGAACGAGACAAAATTGAAGCTTGCAATTGGCAGGTGCTGATTGGTTGGTGAGCTTGGTGTGGAATATCACGTGAATTTGCTTTCCTTGCTTTCCGAGAGAAGGAGCTCGAGCTCTTAGGACTACCGGTACCATACCGGTACTACCTATTGTTCTGTGTTGAATCATAAAGTATGTGAGATGCTCGAAGAATGCTGTTGGCAAAGCTTATTCATTGTAATAGTAAAATTATGAATAATCGGAGGTTCCAATCCGCGTTCCTATCTAGACCTATCTAGCCCGACTCGAAAACTCATCGATATCTCGTAAGTTATGGGTAATAATACACACTTATAAGGTATGTCTAACAACGCTATCATGAGTTAACGCCTGTTCCCTCCCTAAGTTAATGCCAGAACGAAGCCCAAGTATCATGCAATAATCTAATCTCTCCTCTCGGCCTCTCTCAATCTCTCCTCTAAGTCACTACTAACAGCCTGAACCTGCACCTCCTCATATCCAGGCGGTGGCTCATCCGGCGCAGGAGGAGCCACAGACGGCGGCGGCATTTCCTGTGTATTCGTCCTTGACGGCCTCGTGGGAACTGGACTCAATATCCGCGGTTCATCATCCTCTACTTCTCGTGCTGGCTCGTAAGCTGGCAATTGCTCTAAATGCAGATCCGCCGCTGCTGCCGCTGATTGCCCGTTCTCTTGCGCCACGGTATGTGCTTGGTATACTCTTTCCTTTATTTGCTCGAAAGTCGTGTGGAAGTCGAATGCGCCTCCTTCTCGGAACGTAAGGCGTAGCTCTATTGCGGAGTGTGTAGCTGGGATGCCGCCACCAGAGACGGGCTTTACTGTTGCTGTCCAGTAGTTTGCACCGAAGAAGGGCGCTCGTACGTATGTATCTTGGAGGTTGAGGATGGGCGCGGAGAAGGATTGGAGTTCGGGGGTTGGGGAAGAGGGTAAGTAGACTATCTAGAGTTCCATCAGCAGAAGCTCGGGCTAGAAAAGAGCTTGACGTACTCTTTGGTTTGTGATGCATACGACCCCGCCATCGCTCTTTGCTGAATAGGGTTGAGCTGCCGGGTAGGTATTTGGGGTGGATAATTGCAGACTTGTCCGCGGAGGAGATGTGAAGAGTACTCGCTCATTTGGTAACTTGATGAATCCCTCTGATCCAGGGTTGGTCATAACCCAGCTTTTCTTTGCTGTTAGCTGTTTCTCTTGGGCTAACTGCAAGGCAATGAAGTGCGAGTCTTGGTGCATTTGGTACATGGTGGATGAGTGAGTGATGAATAGACACAAAGCGTGTATTCAAGACGGACTGCATACGTAGGTAGGCGTTCGCAGAAGATGGAGACTTACTTTATTGACATCTTGACATCCGCAATTGTCTCTCGCTGCAGGAAAACGCGCCAGTTATGCGGAGGGGTGGGTCTATGTATCCCAGGTGCAGGCGAAGTCCGTTTTGGGAAGAAGCTGCTGCCGGAGCCTGTTTGTGTTTGGGTGTGCTCAGAAGCAGGGAAAGGAGGATTCGAGGATGGCCACACCTCTTGCCGTTTGTGAAGTCTTGACTGTCTCGAAGAGGTTGGTGGTGTTGGGCTTTCTCTCGTTGGACGACACTTCTTTTGGCGGGGTAGAGATAGCTGGCGAGGGAAGTTCTGGTGCTGGTGGATGCTGGTGTCAACGTAGGCAGGGAGGGTTTTGCGTAGAGCAGGCCAGGGGGGGGGGGGGCGGGGAGTAAGCGGGAGCGAGTGCCGAACAGCTTCTACGAAACAGGCAAAAGGAAGGGCGACTATTGAAGGTATTTTAACGGAAGATGTAGGGTGGAGATATGCCGCAAGACTCCCTTGGTTTCTCGCGGTGCGGTGCGGTGCGGGAAGCTGTATGTGTGCGAAAGCTGATGTCTACGTGTGAACACTGGTGGGAGGGGGAGGAGCGCCAGAGGCGCTGCGTAAATAGTATTCTGAAGGTGCGTCATCGTGGCCATGGCCTAGCCTAGGTACCCTACGGCTACACAACATCTAAAATATGTCTCATCACACGCGATATAAATCACTCTGCAGTATTCTCTGCTCCATTTCACTGTAAAGTCACTCTATTCTTGTAAAAGCACACATCTTGAGTAACAACACTTTCCTTCTCTTTCTCCGCCGCCCGCCTCGATGGGATTCGCCCATGCCATGGCGTTCTTCTGTAGGATCCTGATACGTACTTGCATATGTGCACTGCAGGCAATCACATTTAATTTCTGTCCATTTCCACTTATCTATCGAACGCCTGCAAATGCGCCGCTGGCGGCCCAAAAATGCTCCCTCAGCGCTCTCAGTCAACCGCAGTTAGGGAGTGCAAGTAAGACATTTGCACGTGCGAGTCTAGATGCGCTGGGGAGCAATGTAGCAGTAACGGAGAAGATGCGCCTGTTTGTTCATTGAGAGAACAGCTTACCTAGTGCAGAACACGGAATTCTGCAATTCCCAGGTGGCGTGCGTTATGTCTGCTGTCCAGTGATCAGATAAAGCAGCCCACCTTCCCGACTCTTAAGTTTTAATACTCCTTGTACAGTATGCATGAGTTCATTAGACACGACCCTGCAGTGCTGGTCAAGCTACCCGTTCCCGTTCTTTAGGTAGGCATCCCACTGCTTCAAGAAAATCTGGCCGGTAAATTTACTGCAGTCTGGAGGTGGTCCTAGTGTCAATAATCTCCGATGTCCTGGGAAAGTGCCCCATCTCTGAAGGAAGGCTCTTTACGTGGGGGTAGTTCTCTCCTTCTCATACAAATGAACATCGACGCTGGTTTATCAGAGCACGATGCACACCCCGTAAATGCGTTGATACTTTTTCGTGATTGAGGATGGTGCTTGCGAGGCTGACTCGAGGCCTACAGCCACTTGATTGTCTTTAGAAAGTTCTCACGAGAGCAGTCCTCTCCCAGAGCATGTGCTTCATTTCGATCTTAGATCATAACTCTGCATATATACTCTGAGTTGTCAGTAGGCAAAGTCAGGCTTTCACCATCCAGAGGCAGTTTCTCCCTGTGGTGTTTTGTTACATATCATAAGGGCCGAATGTTTCCCGACGCGACGGCCAGATTTTATTGCATGACTATTGCTAGGCAGGTCAGAGACAAAATGAATTACCTCGTGCCCCCAAAATCAGCTTTACTTCTTGGGATGTTGACAATCATTTAAATGCAGTGACCGCATCACATTGCAAAATGTATCCTCAAAGCCAGATCAATGATCAGGAACGCCAAGAAGAAAACATGTCATCTACGACCAGTCCAAACCCAGACGAAGAGCTGCCAACTAATACGGCTAGCCCCGTCCCCAACCTTCCACTCTCCACACAGGACTCCGAAACCCCTAAATGCGGTATCTGCTTAGAGGACTTATCCATTAACTTAGTCAGGCTCATGCCATGCCAACATGAGTTCGACTTACCATGCGCACGCCTCTTTCTCGAGACGCCTAGTCCCACCCGCCATCAATATCCACTTTGCCGTATCCATATCGAAATACTCCGCTACAATTTCCAATAAGAGGGCACATTTATGGACAAATATCCCACAGCAGCGATGTTTGAGTTACTTAAACTCGGGACCATACGTAAGTTGCCTTCTTCGGGGTATATTTATTGCTTCCGATAACTGAGAGAGCGCTTGGGGCGTGGGGTGGTTCACTCTCTAGACCTGGTTTGAGAGTCCATTGATCCTGGAATAGTCTCAACTCCCATGAAACATTGTTCCAACTCCAATTTCACTATCTTTTGACTCGGCACACTTTTGGAATTGAAACAGTTTCTATTCGTGAAACATCCCCCCTTCTATTCCTAATCTACTTCTGTTTCGCCCTCAAAGAAATACTTAGTGCTAACGTTCTTTTGATTCTAGATCCAATCTGATGAGGAATTGACCGATGATATGACGCCTGAGCAGCGGGAAAGGATACTGGAGCTCAGGGAACTGCGAGGGATAGATTTATTCGAAGTGGATTGTGCGATAGACGAATCAGGGTTCTATAATATAGAAGACGATCATACTATGAATGTCAGGCCAAAATTGAGGCTGGAGACAGGGCAGGATCAGGCGCATAACACATTCAAACTCTACACAATGCTCGAAAGCCACCATGAACCCAAGTCTTTCGAGGGCTCACTTATTGAGGGGACTACGCACAACCCCGAGGAAGTAATGAAAGGGAAAAATGAATTTCAAGCTATTTTAGAGACCTTGTCCATGAAGCATAAATAGGACAATTTGGAAACAGTGGAGTTAGCGGGTCATGTGATGTGTGATCAGTTGGGGCTCCAGGTACTGGCACAGACGATGTTGTATGTGCGAAGGAGCCAAGTTATAAGGAGTACAGGAGAAATACTTGCCTAAGTTGTTGGAATTTGGTGATTATCCGGGGAAGGCAGAGGACGGCAGAACGGCGAGATTGGCGAGGGAGGAGGTAAGAGGGGCTTTGGAGAAGATGCGTGCCAAAGAAGACACAGATCCTTTTTACGAGGGGTGGTATCAGACTGCGCCTGGATTTTGGAAACCGATTAGGTCATGATTAAGTAGAGAATTGGAAGGGCTGCGAGCACTGCGGGGAGAAGGAAAGAAATGGCGACTATTTATATCCTCGAGATATGCTAAAGAAAGTAGCTGATGGGACGCTCGACTGGTCAATGTTTCATGCGCAAGTCAATCCTAACATCACTACTCTCTCTACATAGCATAGTCTCATATGACAATTACATATCAAATTTATCTGCTTATTCTTTGAAAGGAGTGACAAAATGCGATCTTCAACATATACAATACCTCTTCAGGCTGCATGATGCCCATCTACGGTTACATACGCCTTTCTATAATGAAACTACCAACAACAATCATTCGCACGCTTTGTGGCATTGATGATCTTCATATATCCCGCTGCTTTTGAACCCTTCCTTTCACCCAAAAGCAGCACTGTTACCTTCTATTCCTATCGCCGAGGCACCCAGTGATGGCATTCCCATCTTCTTCAACCACTCAACCGGCAATGCTAAGTACAATGCTATCACTAGAATAATGCCCCTCGTTCAAAGAGCTATTTTTCACACTGCACCAAAACTCCGCTTCGTCACGCCTCTTACTCCACACTTCCACTCGAAACGACACATCAAGCACGTGAACCTTGCCCCTCACTTCTCAACCATGGCTACCTCTATCACAACCCAGATATCCACCCTAAAACAGTACACAGCCTGCGACATAGCAGATGCGCTCCTTAAACTCTCCATTCCCAACGCCGGATATCTCCCAGACCTGACTCTCCGCACATCCGTTACCTCCACCACCAACACCCCACTCATCGCCCCGGCATCTACCGTGCTCTTCGCTTCCAAATCGAAACCAGAAGCTAACGCCAATTTTCCGGAAAGCAATATTCCTAAAGGGCAGCATTATGTGGATTTAACGGAGAAAGGCACGATTGTAATTACACAGCAACCAGAGGGTCAGCAATGTGCGGTTCTAGGCGGCATCATGGCGCTTAGGATGCGGATGAGGGGGGCTGTTGGGGTTGTGGTGTTAGGACGGGTTAGGGATCTGGTTGAGTTGGAGAGCACTGGACTGCCTGTAAGCTTGGCCTCCTCATCAGCTCACCAAACAAAAAGCATACACATTGACTCGAGGTTCAGATTTGGTCTAGAGGAACTTCGATTGTAGGAACCGGCGCCGAGGCCAAACCACATGCTATTCAAGTCCCTTTGAATATCGATGGGACTGTCATCAAGCCTGGAGATCTTGTCTTCAGCGATGCTACGAATGGTGTGGTTATTATTCCGCAGGAGAAAGTCGAAGAAGTTGTTGCTCTTTTGCCGAAGCTTGTCGAGGCTGATGAGCGAGTTAAGGAAGATGTTGAGAAAGGCATGAGCGTGCAAGAAGCTTTCAAAAAACATAGAGGATAATCGTAGCAATTTTGGCGGTGTACCTACAGTCTCATGTTGCTTGAGACTTCTGTCCAGAGAATATATGAAGAAGCAGCCGTTAGTTCGATTCTCGAAGATGGAATCGGGATGGGTTGATAGAGTCTTGCAGACGGCAGTAATCATTCTCACTTTTTGATGTATCTGTCCGACAGACAACAAGGATTATTTCATCAATTGATATCCAAAATTACTATCGCAGCAAAAGAAATCAACTTTACACCCACAGCCTCTATATCGCAGCTTCCATCATTCAAGAATAAAGATCCGGGTACTCAGCCTTAATCATGTCAGCCCCCTTTTCAGCCACCATATACACAGCATTCTGGATTCGGCAATCAGGAATCACTGGAAAGACGGAAGCATCAACAACGCGGAGATTCTTAACACCATGGACCTTCAACTGGCTGTCAACCACACCTTGCTCGATATCCTTCGACAAACGAGTCGTTCCACATGGATGGAACCCAGTCTGCGATCTCTCCAGAATCATCTTGTTCATAGCTTCATCCGAGTTTCTCGGCATTGGCCAAGGGTAGTCTTCACCAATGATGTCCTTGAATCCTTCACCGGTTTGAAGAATATCATCTACGAAGCGAACACCTTGTCTCAGAGCAATGATATCGAGGTCGTTAGCAAAGAAATTCAAGTTGACGTTAGGCTGGACAAGAGCATCCGCCGAGTTGAGCTTCACTGATCCCGTGCGGGACAGTGGTCGGAGTAGGTCAACAATGACTGTCACCCAGGAACCTTCTGGGGGTGTGGGAATATGCCATTGGAATGCATCTGAGAACATGGGCTTTGAAAGGAATTAGTAATATGTCCCCATACGAGGATCGGCTGCACATACCACGAAGTCAATCTCAAAATGAGGCTGTCCTCCAGGACCAAATGGATCCACATCTCCATTCGCCTTCTTATACGCAACATATTCCTTGCTCTCCGCCAAGTACTTGTCGATACGAGGGAATCCAACCAGCTCAAGAAGACCACTACTGAGAGGTCCGCTCTTGTTCCTCCGGTAGGCCGCAATCGCTCCATCATGCTGTGGACCTGCACGAAGAAGATGGTCCTCGAGTCCCAAACCATCCTTGAGTCTGAAAACATGAGCCAAGATAGGATGATCGAGGAGATTTTGTCCAACATGTTCGGATTTCACGACTGGCTTGATTCCGTGAGCTGCCAGCTCTTTCTCTGGTCCAATTCCCGACAGCATCAGCAGCTTTGGTGACTCGAAAACGCCAGAAGAAACGATGACTTCCTTCTTAGCACGGAAGGAAACGTCTTCCCCGTTATTCCCAAAGACTGTGACACCAGTAGCGACGCCGTCTTTAATGATGATGTTCTTCGAATGGGTTTCGGCAAGGATCGTGATGTTCGGCTTGCCCTCCACGAAAACGTAGCTCGAGGAACGAAACCCCTTATAAATACTATTCATGCAATGAGTAAGCCCACTCACTCTCCCCGAGTAAATATCCTCATTGATCTTCTCGCCCTTGCTAACCCAAGCCTTAGTTAGAGCATCACGGAACGGTTTGACTTCTGGGACAAGATCGGAATGAGAGACGTGAAGCGGGCCACTACGCCCGACTTTGGAGAGACTGGCGTCGAAGAGTCCGTCGTCGTCGTGGTAGCATGCAGGCTTGTCGAAGTACTCCTTGGTGTTCTCCCAATTCCACTCTTTGCCGCCGAATTCGGCCCAGTCGTCAAACGTGGCTGCGCTGCCTCGAACCCAGGTGTAGTAGTTCAGACAAGAACTTCCACCAAGCACTTTGCCTCTAGTATTTGGCTTCTCGACTCGAGTGTAGTCGGGTCTGTCAATCTGTGAAAGTTGGAAAGTTAGCCTTACTTTCTCAGTGTCGTTCTACAAGTATATAGCGATATTTCGGGAGTTTTAGTGCATTATCCGAGTAGTATTCCAACAGTTGTATCAAAGAATCTGGTGGTTTTACCAAGGTAGTCTTGTAAGCCCAGTCATACTCGCTATCGCGAGTCTCGAAGGCACGCGCCGGAGTTGTTATCATGGATTGCTCTCTTGGGTTTCTGCACATTCCTTGTTAGCCAATTTGATTTAGTATATACGATGATGAATGCCCTACCCAATGCCGGCTTCGATCACCAAAATAGAGACATTTGGGTTTTCTGCAAGTCGTCCAGCAACGACGTTGCCGGCAGTCCCACCTGAAGAGTTAGTTTAGGAGCAACTTTAGTGGTGTTCTAAGAGTATCTTACCTCCAACGACGATGAAGTCGAACTCTTGTATTTTCCCAACAGAAGCCATATTTGACCTTGTTTGGATTTCAATAATATTCTTTGGTTAGAAAGTTGTTTTTGGTTTGAGTCGTTGGGAGCAGATGTGGGAATGGATGATGAGATGATAAGATTGAAGCTCAAGGAATCGATGAATATTACGATTTGAGAGGCATCTCGCGTTCTATATATACCCAAATTTTGAAAATGCTTCAGTGACTCCAAGTAGTCAAGTAATGAATGACATAGCAGAACTTTCGGTGAAAAAGCGGTGTTTGCATCATCCTCCAATCCCGAGCGGGGTCTGTGGAGTTGATCCGCGAAACGGTGGAAACAAGTATACCATATCGACATGGGTAACTCCATAGTCTCGATGCATGACTTGATCCCTAAAAATCCAAACCCAGTTGTGTAAGTCGCTCTCGGCTGATAACATAAGGTTGTACCCGCACCGCGGGAATTGCAGCTTACTCAGCGCTAGCACTCTCTACACATTCCGAATGCGGCATGTGTAGACCCGCAAAAGTCCCTCCAACGCTTCCATCAATCGGCCAGGCTGTTATCATCCGATTCAAGCGATTGTTTATGTGCTGTGCTGCGCTTACAAATACATCTCCGGAGGGGTTGTTTTTGTGCATGACGTGCGTGAACAGCCGATTCAAGCGATTGTTTATGTACTGTGCTGCGCTTACAAATAAATCTCCGGTTTGTGCATGACGTTTTGTTCACGCACGTCAGCGTCGAGTGCATAGGCCCACCGGGCTTTAGTTTTGACACGCCGAACTGTTGTTGAACACTACAATACATGACGCTTTGTGATTACATCTTCTGCGGGGGAAGTCCTCTCCAAACACCTGACTTTTTTTTATTGTACACATATTGTACATATAGCAAGCCAGTAGTACAAAGCAAAGCATTTCTAGCTCGGCATTTATAACACTTGCCGTATAGTGTGGAATATATATCGCTGAGGCAAGGATTGGAGACGAAACTTTTTCCTCCCGTTGAGCTGGCTGGTTTGCTTAAGTTGGGTGAATTTCACAGACTGGATTACATGCACAGTTGGGAATTAAGAACTTTCCCGTAATCTCATGTTCATCATTGGAGAACTGGATTTATAAAATAGCAAGAGTGTGAATTGACAATTTAGCGCGCGGGTATACTCAACTTACTCGTAACGTAAATCTCACGCGCGTTAAATGTCTAAATGTGAGTGGTCATCTACACGTGGCTCTGAAACCTCGTACAGCTTGACCCACTTAATTATATGTCCATCCGTTTTATTTTCAACTACCATTGTTTCCCTCTCGCCTAAGTTGCTTTATCAACACAAACAAATCTCGAACACATTCTTAGTTTTTTTTAATTTAATTATGAACCCCATAGCTATTGATGAAGACAGAGCTCGGTGGGAGAAGAATGTCAGCTTCTGCACCCAAACAGTCGACATGGAAGACGGACACCGCCTCGACCTTACTATTAGGATTAATAGCAAACACTTTATTGTTACAGTCTTGCCTACCCCTTCCCCGGACGACCCTATAACACCGCTGATATCTCGGTATAACAAATCGTTTATGGATAACGACGAGGAGCTACAGAAGGCCCAAGATGAAATCGAGGATATAATCTACGAAGCCGGATGGCGCAAGTTTGCTCTCTTGGCGCCTGGAATCGAAAGAGGATCTTCAACCCCACCCATCTCGCTACTTTCTACCCTGAATCCAGAAACCTTTCTATTTTCGTCTGGTGGTGGATCGCGCGAATGCCCATGTAATACAAGAATATCCTTCACGACCATTATTCGGCCCTGATTATATCGCTATCAACATTACAGCCAACCTACCTAGATATTCAGCCCGGGACATCACGATCACCGAGAAACTTATGGGTACTGGATTCATCGCGAGAGTCTCTGCCAAAGGGCAGGATATGTGCTGCAAGGTGCTGGCCCCTCGTCAAGTCAAGGCGGTGCAGCGTGAATACGAGTGTTTGAAGAAGATCGCGGACTCTCAATACGCCTATTCCATCAGCGCACCTAGATTGATCGGTTTCGTCGTCGACGATGACGATGATGAGGGGGCGGGTATTGGGATTTTGGAAGAGTACATTCCGCACGTCATGACTTTGGGACGGTTTCTGAAAAATAAAAATACTGAAATTGTTGCTATCGAGCGCAGGAGAAAGTGGGCAGAGCAGATTCAGCGTAACATTTTGTTGCTGCATGGGATTGGCGTGGTGTGGGGTGATGGGAAGCCAGAGAATGTTCTGATTCATAGTGAGACGGATGATTGTTATTTGGTTGATTTTGGGGGCAGTTGGACAGATGGGTGGGTTGATGCTGAGTTGAGGGAGACGGAGGCTGGTGATGAACAAGCTCTAACAAGGATTTTGGGTTTCTTAGGCGTCGGAATTGCAGATAATAAGGTGTAACGAACGTTGCTAACTCTGAGTTAGCAATCAGGGCTACTTGGGGTGGTCAGCGAATTTTGTTCAGTCTACCAAGGTGAAGTTGGGGTTGTGATGGCTTGGGTGAACCTGGAGTGACTCGGGATTGCAAACAGAGTCTGAGTGGAGAAAACCGGACGTTAGATTCCTGTAGCAGGCTCAATCCCACCCATCCTCCCCGTTTTCTTATTTCTGCTTACTCTGCGACAGTGAAATCCGTCGAGACAGATACACTTTTCCACTCCTCCAATGACCTCTTCTGTAAATCCAATGTACCCTTAACCAGCCCCGCAGCATCAGCTCCTAACACTAATCTAGCAGGCAGCTCCTTCTCCTTAAAAGCCTCCTCCCCCGTTAAAGCTGATGGTGCCATGTTTCTAGGCGCGCATGTAGGGGAGAATGGCGCGGGTGTCTGCAACTACTGCAATTACTGAAATTACTCGATTTGCTGTAGGTGTGCGCAAGTCTCGAAGCGGTTGCCAAAGAAAGTGGGGCAACGAGTCTCAACCCCTTATTATTTCGAGAAAGCTTATGCTAAATTTACAGCAAATTCCCCGTATGATACATGTATATCTGTATCTTATCAAATCAGCCGGCAGAAGTCAGATCTTAGTATATTCAACCCCAATGTGTTTCCCTCGTCGTGGTGGTAGTTTTTGACAATCTTTCTAGTAGAAATATGTTATTATTAGACTTGAAATTAGTTAAGCAGAACTCCTATATGTTTTCCTCCTGTTCCTGTAACATCAGTGTCGCTTACTACAATGCAAACCAGCGCTGATGCAGACTAGTTCTGACCAATACAAGACCTCCAATTATACTCCCCAAACCCGACCCAAAAAGTAAACACCGCGCCCAAGATTCTCAATCGCAGTATACAGTATACCCTACAGACTAAGCTTCCGCTGCAGCTACATCCGGCCAGTTCCACTGCTCCTTTTCCCTCACGTCAGGTCCTCGACTCGAGAGCAAAAACATCAGACTGTCACACCGTCTTTGCAGATCACTGCATTGGCTTTCCAGCTCCTGGATATACTGCTCCTTCCTCTCTCGAAATTTCCGCTGCGATGTTCGGTTCTTCTCTCGGCGTCGCTGTTTGGCCATATATATTAGAATCTAGGTGGATAGTATGATCCATAAGATCCTAGTCCTTACCTCGATTCTTTCCGCCTTCTCAACTTTCGTCTTCTTCTTTGTCCTCCGCACAGCTTGTCTAGGGTGAACTTCTTCATCTCCGGAAGAAGGAGTATGGATATTATGAAGTTGTGGGGTCATCTCCGATTCGTTGTCTGATGAGGAGGATGGTGACCATGAATCTCTGGGAGGGAAGGGAGGTGCGGTAGTCTAACGCTACTGTTAGTCAAAATCGGAAGCAAGGATTACATTGAAAAGGTTGGGCTGAGATACCGGAAGTCCTTGAGTGCGGAGCAGCTCTGTTTTATTTTGAATAGGCGACGGCCATACATTTATAGGCGTGACTTCGATCGGTTGATACGCAGTTGGTATATTAGGTGGTAATGACAAGTCCCAAGTATCGAACGTCGGCGAGGAATTCTGCGACATCTTCATTATTTCCGAGCGTCATACCTTCGGTCCCCAAGATGGGGATGGGTGGGTAACATACCATTGGGGTAAAAGTACTCTCGCTGGCTTGGATATCTGTGTAAATCTCCGGCACTATATTTGGCGGGGGGAACTCAAAGTTAACAAGTGAGTCGAATTGATCCATATCTGTAGTATGTGTGAGGCTCGAGCATGTATATACAGAAACTTAATCGAAAGTAATATTTTAACGGAACTTTTTAGGCCGACGATCAGAGAAGAAACCAGCTTCTTTATATTCTTCCATTCCATCCCATGAAAGGAAACACCCTTTCGCATGATCTGATACATGCTTGTATCCTCAAGGATGACCACATACCACATCCTTGCCCCCTCGGACTCCGGCACAGTAGCGTGCGTTGCCGGCGCGTCGTCCAAATTCGCGCCCCACGCAAAGCTGCAAAGGGATTACTATATACCCTCGGTAATAAAACATGACACCGTGAAGGGAAGGATAACTGTTGTTCAATCTAGCATATGCATGCAGTTTAGCGTGGGTAAATGGTTGGTAGAGAGACGAGCGGAAGTATGGTGGGGCGTGGCGGGGCGGGGCGGGCACACTTCAGCCCTGTCTTGTTCGCCTTTTTCTAGGAAATGGAGTTAGAATAAAGATTTGGAGACACTTGATTCTGCTTTTATCAAGTTAAGGAATTGAGTTGGTTTAAAATGATGTATCATGATTTTCTTCTTAATATCAAAGTTTTGATACAGAAAGAAAATTCTACGCTAAGCTGCTAGCGTTGGTCGCATTTACACCATTTGTATTACCGAGGTGTCAGAAAATAAAGATCTGACCGTGGTCGGAGTTTTAACTGGTGCCGATAAGTATTAGCCCTTGTTACTCTATAGTGGAGCCTGTAGGAAGTGTATATTCAAACGTCTTTAAATGGCTACTTACTACTCGAGTAATTACACCCTGAAGAAAGTCTCGTCACCCAGTCTACATTTTTTACTTTCAACTAGAATTTAATAATAGCAAGACAGGGTATCTAATAGGTAAACAGTGCTTCGAATACGATAATTTATTCCTAATTAGTAGAGAACAAGCTGCTGGGAAAACGCTTTATATCGGTCATAGAACCCTGTAACAAAAACCCCATATTTCAAACATCTCGATGACAAAAGTTTTCTAGGAAAGCATGTCATTAGAAATCCATCCTCAACGCTGTCCCTGCTGCACCTAGGAAACTGAGTCGCGAAATTATTATATATTTCGGCGGTGGGTCGGCGTCTACATGTGTACCGGAGAAAACTCGCAGTATTTATGACTGAACATGATACGATACGTAGATTTTAGATAGTACTACCAGGCTGAATTTGATTTTGATTTGCCAGTTGAAATACGCCCGAGCTGCCCGAACGAAGTCCCAAAACAGTTGTACGGCTACTGAATGCGGAATAGGTGCAGACCGTGGAGAGAGAGTGCCGAGCCCGTTCTGACTGTCACAGGCGGAAATAGTGGGCCGGCTTATGGCCCTATCGGGACGAGCCGAACTGGGCTACCTCGATTTGAAACAAGGGTACGGAAAATACTGAGAGCATTCAAGGTCAGCATTTCAAGAAGATTTATGTACTTGGAAGTTACATGTAGTGACTGTGTATTTTGCAGTCTGATTCATGCCAGCAATACTTTTGATACCCAAGGTAGGCTCTAGCGAGTTTTCAAGGCCTTGAAGTTGTTTGGACTATCTCCGTATGTCTGGCATTCATTGTCACTTTTGTTTTATATAGAAAAGATTGATATCTTACGTAACAGAGTACACTCGATATACCAGGTGAATTTTTAAGTACATCCCCAGTTGCTCTTCTGCATTGCAATGCTTTTGATATCGGTCGCTTACAAAAGAAATGTCAGCAAAAGTAAGTTCACTCTCACATACACCCTTCAAACGTCGTCGCGTTGGGAATTCGACTACAGCTGTCGTGCTCAATCGGCATAGAAGCGGATTAGCCCTGTCCCAGGATACGCAGCTGACCAAGATGCTTCGTATACCAATATTATCAGTGCCATAGAAGTCAAGGACCTGGATTCTCTTCCATAAAGATACCATCCCCTTCTTCCGAACCAACAATCAGACTCAGCAGTCGATCCTCCATCCGCCTCCAAGAATGATCCTGTAGTGCCCTCGCCACCCTCTCCAACCGTTCCGTCCTCATCATCGCGCCAGGTCCTTCTGGCCCTCTCCCCATTCCCTGGAGAAGTAACCATCGCAGACTTTGCACCGAGTCTGTCCACACATGCTCTGTTTTCTGCAGGCTATCATTCAGCCATCTCGGATCGTACTTTCCCTCATTCGTTTCTTTCAAAATGATAGCAATATAGAACAGACACATTAGTCGGTCTTCGGTGCCAGACATATGATGCGACGATCGTAAGAAGATTATTGCACGTGCTATAGCGGGGTATTGGTGTCTTATTTTTAGGGTGTCGGTTTGGATATCTTGGAAGAAGTTTACAAAATTCGAGTGAGGTAGTTCGTAATCCTCTTCGTCGGAGTTCTGGGCAAACTTGGGGCTGTTCCAATGTGGGGCCGGCATTATTGAAATTCTGGATTGTTTCAGAAAATGAGGGCAGTAAGAATGACGAGAACCTACATCTGAACTCGCATCTCTAAACGCCAATATGTGGGGAAGGTTGAGAGACCTCCACGGTTTTTTACCATCTGGGCTAGGCCTTTACGGTGGAGTCGCCATGTTCGTTCTGTACCCCAATATCTCTAGAATAATGCATTTGTTAGTATACAAATTCCAAATGCATAGCTATAGTATGGTTCGAATATTCCGTTTCCGTCAAAATTGTATATCTGAATACTGAGTTGCCTAGCTAGAGGGATTGGAGGGAATAATTCACCTCAAAAGTAAGCAGTCTTAAGACCGCCGAAAATGCCTCATCGCAAACAGCTTTCAGGGGATCATTCAGATATTCATTGACAAGATGTATTGCCGCCATCTTGTGTGTAATAGCTTTTATGGAATTGCGCTCGCCCCTGAGGTGAGCTATGTGAGAAGCTGAGTGTGCCAACACAGCATGGGTAGCAGCTTCTTGAGATAAATCCACCGGGATGTAAAGATCTCGCATGGGGTTCAATGACGGGTCTGTCGGTTTACCAAATGCTTGGATGGCATAGGTATTTACCCCTGCTGATTTCAGTCAAGTCTTGCCATTTTGGAATTGAACTTACAGTGATATAAAAGCTTTTGATCTTCGGCATCGATTCGTAAGGTATTGAATGGATCTAGTCCATCTTTTCCACTTAGTGCCGAGTGTGGAGAAATCAACTGACTAAGAGGTTTCGGGACTCTAGAGACTTTCCATATCGGTTCCGAACTTGATGTCTTCGGTTGCTTTACGGTATGCCGAAGATCGACAGAAATGATATCCCGCGGCAACAATCGGTCATCATTGGATACCGTCTCGGGATCCGACAACGGAGCCTCAAAGCTATCAACTTGGGTCTGGAACGTTCTTGGAGGCGTGGAATCTCCTGTTAGTGTACCGGCTCTCTGGCTCCGCTGTCTCCAGGATTCACGCATCGCATGACTGCGAATCCTACTACGGTCACTGCTACTTACGAACTCAAATGACGTTGGTGTGTTGACCTGTGGCTGTGGCTGTCCCTGTCCCTGTTGATCTCGACATTTCTTTAACGGTCTCCGAGGTGGAGAAGGCTCGGGATCTAGGTTCATGGTTTATGAGCCCTCTTAAACGTCCGCCAAGTGTGGTTGAACGTGACGGACGGAGCGGAACGTACGTGGTCAAAGCCGCTAAAGACAACCCAGTTCAGAAAGGGTATTATTACATTCTCATAGATTTTCCCACCGGCGTTTTATATCTATAAGTAGCTCGTTATTGCGATGGAATGGAGGTTTTCATGATATACTATTGATAGTGTTGGGATATATGTCACAAGGATCACGTGACCCTAGCCCCGATGACTAAGCAGCGACAAGGCCTTCACCTCATCGTCGCAACCTTAGCTAGAACCTCTTCCAGACCTAGAAATGCAACCACGTAACCACGATCGATTACTAGGCCAGACCAGTTCACTATGTGTAAACCAACAAATAGTATTTATTGAACTGAAGGGATTTGCTTATGGCAAGGTTTGTACGATTTGTTAGCACGTTTTTCGCCATTGGTAATAAGGAAGTGACTATCCTAGCGCTAACAAACAAAACAAAATTTCAACCACCCAAAAACCATCGACGGTACAAAACAGGTATGATCCCAATTCCCTCTCAAGTCGACTCGTTAACTAACTATATATAGTACAAAGATCGAGCGTCTGTCAGTCCTTCAAACAAAGGAACAATTTCGGCAGGGTATAGGCCGGATGCTGCTTGTACGTAGCTTTGCTTATCTGACATACCAGATTCAACTTTGGCCGCCCATGCTTTCAAGAACTCAGTTGCTGTATCAAAGGGGCCTCCCAGTCCTGGTATTGGGCCTGGCTGGTACGTGCCGTCCCCGGTCATGGAGATAATTGTCCCGATCTCAGACAGCTGTCCGTACCGTGGATAGCTGGACCTAGGGCAGAGAACAGTTCGATTAGATATGCTTATACGGATATGCTCCGAATACAAGTCACTTTGCTTGCATGGATCTTGGCTCGACTGCTCCAAAAGGCTTGCTTATAATCAGGCGGTGTCTTCATGCCCAAATCGATTCCTGATTTTGTAGCTCCGGAGTTTTCTGAAGTTTCGCGGCACAGTAGGTATGGTCGTACCAGGGTACATATAACGAATATAGGCAAGGCTGATACACTTCTTTCTTACTATTACTAGGAATCAATACCCGCCCTTTGGATTCCGAATGCAAGCATACATCTATTTGTGTACACACGTAATATCACACGTAATCTTCAGTAAATCATATCTACTCGTGATGCACGATTTGGATCGACCTTTTTCTTCCACTAATTTCCTGGCTTGGCACGGCTCGAAAACGACCTCAATTTACGTTATGTCTTATATGTTTTATATGTCAAACTTCTGTGATCGACCTGATACTAACTCGTATGAGTTACAGGACTAAACAGAGGGCGTAGAAGACTAGATAGATAGCGGCCATTTGTTGAAATATTAAAGGGACTCCTTCGCCCTCTTCATATGTCCCAGCCATCACATCTCATCTCACTTCTTCCAATATGTTCGCAACATGGTTTCATCTTCAACTGCTCCTAGTCTTTTCTATCGGCGTTATATGCGATACTTTTGACTATATAATAGTCGGAGCTGGGACTGCGGGCTTAGTCGTCGCAAATCGACTAAGTGAAAACCCAAACATCACCGTCGTAGTCATGGAGCCCGGCCCAGATGTCCGCGACTTCCCCGGCGTCCAAGCAGCTTTCCCCCCAGGTGCCATCAATGCATCAATTGACTGGGCCTATACCTCTATTCCCCAACCCAGACTAAGCAACCGGACGTTCCAATACCACGCAGGAAGAGCAATCGGAGGAAGTAGTACAATCAATGGTTCGTTTCGTCTCTCCATTACAAAGGTTTATTTTACACGTTTCGTTCTTCTGGTAGTGTAGAGAAGTAATCGTTGTGCGATTAGGAATGTAGTATATCCGTGGTGACGCAGCACAATACGATGCCTGGGAAGCCCTCGGCAACGAAGGTTGGAATTTCAGCACGCTATTTCCAAACTTCAAGCTTTCGGAGAACTACACCATCCCCACCGATGCCCAAGTAGCAGCAGGAGCAACCTCGATCGAGGATTTCCATGGCCATAGCGGGTTTCTCGTTACTGGATATCCGTTTTTGCTATCTAATGCGTCGTTTCACGATTTAGCAAGACATCTTGGGAAACGTTAGATGTACCTGTGAACGAGGACTTGAATGGTGGTGATACGCGTGGATTTGCGTTGTTTCCGTCCACTTTGGATAGAGATGCTAATGTACGCGAGGATGCTGCTAGAGCATACTATCAGCCTGTTGAGGATAGACCGAATCTTTCCATCATCAAGGGTACAGTGACGAGAATAACGTGGGGGGAGAGCTGTGACCAACTTCTTGTTGCTGATGGGGTTGAGTATATAGACGCGGCGGGTACCTTGTCTAAAATCGAGGCTAGTTTGGAGGTGGTTTTATCTGCTGGATCTTTCAAGTCTCCTGTTATCCTTGAGTCTTCTGGAATTGGAAATCCCAGGTACGTACAGCATACGTGACCATAATTTCCATATCTTCCAACCTTACAGACCATGAGTTAACTGCTTGAAGAATCCTAGCCGAGCATGGAATCGAGACAGGGGTTGATTTGCCTGGAGTAGGAGAATCGATGCAGAATCACCATCCCGCTAGTTTTTCCTTCACCACCACCAACAATATCACCGGCCAAGCTCCTTACGTAGCCTATGCCACGGCCTCTGATATCTTCGGCGACAACACGACAGCGGTCGCAGCTTCGAGTAGCTCGCTCCTTGCAAGCTGGGCACAAACAGCGTCAGCCGCCACGGGAGGTGCCTTGAGTCCCGAAGCTCTAGAGACGAGGTATCGTGTCCTCCATGACCTGATCTTCATCAAGAACGTTACAATAACAGAACAATCTTATGTTGTAGCTACTAGTGGTAGTGTGGTGAGTGCTGGTTTCCGCGTCTCGGAGCCTTTCTCGCTGGGCAGCATTCATCTTGGGTTTAATTCAAGCCAGCCTATTGTTGATCCCAATCCACTGTCTATTGATCTCGATCTGCAGCTTCTCACAGGTGCTGGTCGCTTGACTCAGAAGCTATGGGCTACGCAGCCATTACTCGGTACCATTATTTCCGAAACAGAGCTGTCTTCCAACGCAACAGATGACGAATGGAACACTTTCCTGACATCTTCACGTGAGTTTGTGGTTTCTGGACGTATGACGTGTTGGATTGAGAAGTTCTAATAAGACGGATATAGTTAATACCGCGTACCATGTCATCGGAACTTGTGCTATGCTGCCGCAAGCATCGGGTGGTGTGGTTGATCCGAAGTTGAAGGTCTACGGGACTCAGAATGTCCGCGTTGTCGATGCTTCGGTTATTCCTATCCTGATGAGTGGCCACTCGGGAGCCGCAGTGTATGCCGTAGCTGAAATGGCTTCTGAAATCATCAGGGCGGGTTAGGGATAGTATGAGGGCATGCTGAGGGGGTCTAAGAGGAAGTCTATAGAGTTGTTTGGTATTGAAATGCCTTGGTTCAAATAATTCGACATTTTTAATAGGTAGATTTGTCATATCCAAGATAGAATAGTATATGAAGTTCTATATAATAATATAGTGCCTAATAGATATTAGAAGCAAAAGCAAAATATATTCAAGCAAAGAGGGATAAGGGATAGCAAGGTAAGTGATACAGGCAATGCTAAAAGAGGGGTTTGAGGCCCCAGATTGCCATGCAAGCTAGCATAGCCTTTTTTATATGCGCTAGTCTAACGTCCTTTTGGAAGGATAGTTCTGGGTGGTTAAAATGGTACTCCGGTGAAGTTGGAGATCACTTGTATACCTAGTGTGCTCGTAATACGATTGCAACGTTATTGTCCTTCTCTCAAACAAGCCCACTCGTTTCCCGTACTTCCCATTCATACAAGCCCAAAACACCTATCCATTTCTCCTCTACCACTTATATTACACGCAATCGTGGTGAAACATCTCTAATGCTTCCTCTTTTTCTTATACGCCGCTCCATCAATTCACGACACGTGCATTAAAACTCGCTAAAGTTCGCTAAAAGTTCGCCTATATTTACTATAGACCTAGAATGTGCGATTCGAAATTCCTAATTGATAAACAAGTTTTTAACAATAAATCAGAAAAGCTTACAGCTTACCTAGGACAGGTGGCCGAGTGGTTATGGCGCGTGACTCAAGATAGTTATATATCTTACTTTGTGGTAACACGAAGGAGCATTCTCGTAGAGTAATCTGCAGGGGTTCGAATCCCCTCCTGTTCACTAGAAATTCCTTTTGCATATTTTTGTACGCAGGAGTGCTTACGCTACTTTTAGCACTCGCTCACTCACTTGCCAGCCAAAAACCTTTCGTTTTAAATGCTTAACTTCGTACTTAGTATTTAGGATTAGAAAGTTATCCAAGGCTATAACGAGTAAAATTTATTATTAGTATTAGAAGACACGCTCTAATTGTAAGTCGAAGCCCGAATTTTTGGTATAGAACAAGTCAGGAATAGTAAGTGGGATTCCAAAGTGGAAAGTGAAAAGCCTTTTTGCGATGCCTGATTTCGAGGGATGACGCCTCCCTAAAACATCAGATCTTCACCTGAGAATTAGCGACATCGCCCGAAAGCATTACTCCTTTAATAATTACAAGTAAGAAGATACCAATAGCTATAGCTCCTCCCTCCTATAACCAGCTAAGCTCTGGCATGTCCAGATCAAATACACACACACCTTTTCACCAATCTCTGCATTCGCGCTTGTTTTCCAGCCGCGGAAGCCAAAGCCACCAGACGCATACTACTGGCCCATGAATATGCTACAAGTATCACCTGCACTTACATGTAGAAAACTAACTTCGTAAAAAGGCTATAAAGCCACTCAAAACGGGAGACTCTAAAGAAGTTTAGATGTTGAATCATTTAGAAGTCACCAAGCTTCGTTCTCAGCGATTCCCAAACTCGCAGTGTTAAAAGTCGAATTAAATGTGGAAGCGAACTCTGTAATAGAAAACAGAAAAAGGGGGTAGATTAAGGTACAACTGCTTTTACCAAGGAGAAAATGATACAAGACCCAAGCTGACTACGCGGAAACGAAAGGCAACCTCTTAGCAACAAAATAAGTCCAGTACAACGGCGCATTGTCCCCACTAGGAACCCCCACCATATTCTCCGCAATAGCAGCCAAAACCCAATCCGAATACAGCGCCCCCAACACCCCAAAACACCCTAATGCAACCCCACAGGCAGCAAGACCAGACCCCAATACCGGCCCCAAAACCGTATCCCGAGATGCATTGCCGCTGCTCCAAACACAGCACACCAGCAGACCAACACCAATTACTAGAGCTAAAGTAATGGATCCAAAGACGGCAGTGATGAGCAGCACTTTGGGATTCGACTGGATGGTTTCCGCGACGAGAGAAAACAAGCCAGCGAGTCCGACGAAAATGCCGGGGATATACAACAAAAGCCATAGGAGCACCTTGACATCCCTGCTCTTCTCCGGATCCCAATACTCGTCACCCCTCGGAACGACGAGCGCGGCATGAAAACTTAGCAGCCCGTACGTGATACTCAGATCTAGTTTCCAGACCGCCATGGCGATAAATTGCCATCTTCCTCTGCAGCGGACGATGGTGAGGGAGGAGATGATGACGGACAGGATGATGCCGAGGAGCGCGAGTATAATGTCAAAGCGCGAGTGCGTGTTGCGGAGGAGCGGACACCAGGGGTGGCGCTGCAGGGAGAGGATGATGATGGTATAGTAGGTTAAGAGGTGGGAGATGAAGCCGATAGCGCCGAAGGGGAGGCTGTAGCACTGGATTTCTTCGACGAGAGAGCCGTTTGTATAAGAGGCCGTGTGGATCCAGGTTGTGAGGCTGGTTGCCGACGTAGGGAAGGGGAAGAAGTGGATAACAAGGACTGAGAGAAGCAAGTTTTGGGAGTTTGGAATTGGCCACATGTTTTTCCCCTTCTATATTTGACAGAGCAGTATTGATCTGATGCAGAGATGTTAGTCATTGACTACAAAGAGCATCATATCTACACCGACCTCCCTCACACTCCAAAGCCCAGGGCTTCCTGGGTGCACTTCGCCTCAACGGCCCACACGGCGACCACCTCGAGGCTGCTTCGACACTCGTCAGCCTCCACAATTCCTATTCCAAATCATTCTACATAATGCAGACGCAGACTTCGCATTGCATTGCAAGATAGACAGCAGCAGCAGCCTCACGCAACATCCAGAACATAACGAATAAGACAGGCCCCGCAAGAAATGTCTCAACAGGCAACGCAGCTCAATACCGTACTCAACAAAAACATATGACAGCACAGCAGCAAATCCGAACCGTTACAGGTTTGCCTTATCAACACCATCGAGTCAACACCGGGGAGTCGACTCTGTTGCAGGATTGCGGTGCCCAGAATATGCAGGTATCCGGCGGGGAAAGAAGGGGTCAGCACAGCCACTGCCGTGGTCGCGACTTGCTCATCTCACCGTCGGATTAATTGGATCTACCGGGCCTTGGACTCGGGTTCGGACTCATGCGCTTGTAACGTTGGGGCATGATGGACTCGAAGTCGTATGATTGTAACGTTGGGGCATGATCAAATCAGGGCGTCGTTGATTGTTTGCTACAAGTATGCCCTCCTTTTCATTTTGCCCATGGTCCATCTCGTGATGCGGATATCTCCAGGAACCCAGATTAGCGAGTAAGCCCTGATAAAGATGCTCCTGTCGGGGCGCTGTCAGCATGCTAAAACCCTATTTCCACGTACAGTAAACCGCACACCTCAGCACCTCCCCCCACCCCCCGCGGAAAGAGATCAGACCAGCTAGTATGGGGCTCCTCCTCAGCAAATCCAAATATGTTTTAGAGAACATGGGCCGTGAAGCGATGATGGGTATACCTTAAGGCAGGAAGGAGATGAAGTGCAAAGCGGAGTCATTGGCTCGTTCATTCAGACTCTGAGATTCATTGCCATTGCCATTGGCAATGACCAAGAGAACAAATGTGAATAAAGGGCTGAATGCATGCGTCTCCGTGAATATGATATGATAACCCGTCAGTCTTGTCTTGTGTTCTTAAAGAAAGAATTCTCACAAGCCTTGAAACTTACACCATTCGACAGATATACAAATCGCAATGGCATCTCCAAATCCACGACAAAATCAAAGTCGAGGTCGAAGTTTCGACCAAACCAATTACGAAGACATAGATGAAAATGAAAGAGCCAGCCCCTTACAACCTACCCAGCAGAATCAAATCCAGTACCCAAATCATGATCCTGCTGCTACACCACAGCCACCCACCCAGCCCCGTCTAGCCTCTATACCTCCACCCCCCTCATCACAACCCAGAGCCTTCCACAGCACCGTCTGCGAGTCCCTCATCCCGCAGCTCTCCCCGCCCGACTGCAGCATCTGCATGGAACCATACACCACACTCGCGCTCCTACACCCCTGCCACCACTTCTTCGACTACGCGTGCATCGAGCCCTGGATCCTGACCCCCCTCTCCTCGTTCCGCAACCCAGGGTGTCCCATGTGTCGCAGCGCGATCGATATAATCGAGCGCACGGATCCCGCGTGGACTATTGCGGTGGGAAGGACGATGAGGTGTGAGAGATATGGGGGGTTGGAGCGAGGGGGGGCTGAGAATATGCTTGCGGGAACGTTTTTGGATCTGACTGAAGGGTATGGGGAAGCAAGTCGGCTTTCATCTGGGGCGAGGAGAAGAGAGGCGGATGTGGGTGAGGCAATGCGGCGCTACGGGAATAGGGATATGATGAGGCGCCATCGTACGTTGAACTGGAACAGGAGTTATGATCATAGGCGGGGTTATCCGGGTGCGGAAAGTGATCGTGATTCTGGTGTCGATATTTCCGACAATACTAATGGCAACCCACTTCCTATCACCAGCGAGCCTCAAGATACATTCCACACTCCCCTCAACATCCCACAAAGCGCCAGAAACTACACCGCTATCTCCCAAATCCTAGCATCCTTAGATCTATCCGCCATCAGATCCCTCTACGACCCACCCCCACCCCTTTCTCGCGAAACCACCGCCGCCGGACAGTTGCAACGCGAAGAAGGGCTCCTATCGGCCATTGCAAGTGTCGTTGCGTCTACTCCACCTGCACCTACACTTTCAGCGCTCCCTGGAAGCAGTGAAGGGGATGTAGATGCGGGTCAGGCAGGCGGGGAAGTTGAAGCTAAACCTGAATCTGGACCTGCTGTAGAAACAGGTGGGTGGTGGGGAACGGATTGGAATGATTGATTGAATGGAGAAGGGTAAAATAGAATAGACTCTGTACTTGGTAGGTAGGGAATATCAATCGATGAGTTAAGAATTACGAGCAGGAAGACTACATACATACAAAGTGTGAAACTATACACATGGAAATGAATAAGCAGGTATTGATTGATGGTACAATAATGAACGCATGCAATGCATAAAGTAATGAATGAATGGAATTCCTCACTTGAGGTAGTAGGTCGGTCCGCCCTTATTGGTCAGGTTTAGGCGTACTGTAGTAGTTAGTTCTCGCATAACAACAGCCACGACAGCAGCGACGGCAATACTCAGTTTGGAAGAGGAAAGCCATGATGTTCAATTTGTATAATGAAGGAAGCAACAGCTACAATAAAAGCCACGCCAGTCGTAATCAGTATCATGCTATCATTAGTCATGCTCGTAATCATTCAAGGAAATTTGTTGTTGTCTGCACTCCCCCTCCACCTCCACCGCCTCTCTTCATTCATCATCTATCCACCCAATGAAAACCCAAACAAAAAAGCAAACCCCTAATCCAAACCCGATAACCCAATATAAAGAAGAGAAAAAATTGAAAGGAATCAAAAATTTTACAACCACTCATCACTGCTACCACTGTGACCAGGATGGCCATGACTGTGTCCAAAGCTTAACTTCATCTCAATCTTCGGTGCATCCTCAACAGGCGCCGCCTTTCTCGCGACACTCTTGCGAACGGGACTTTTTTGCTCTTGGCTAGGTCCACATCGAACATCTCTGGTGTCCCACCCATCTTCTGCGGCAGCCGCAACCCAGCAGCGAAGACCGTCGTGGACACCGCCGTAAAACTTCTCTTTACATAGTCGTAAGGTAGAGCCCATGCATTTCTCCCAGCCGGAAATGCGCATTTGTTCGCGGAGATCGTTGCGCTCGGTTTGGGTGGGGATACTGGCTAATACGCCGTTGATGAGATCGAGGTGGGAAGCGAGGTAGTTTGTAGCGTCCCATTCGACGCCGCCGACGTAGGGAGCTGCTGGGACAGGTGGACGCTCTTGTGGGAAGTGTCTGGACATATAGAGGTGATACGGATTTGACGAATCAAAACTTCCATTAGAGCCAGAGGAGGAGATGGTAGAATAGCTGGTGTCGTAAGGTACATCGCGGGCCTTGGGGAGGGGAACAACATTGAGATTGTGTAAGAAGATCCAGAAGACTTCCTTAGTCACGTTGGTGACTTCCTTGCACCATACACGGTATGGGCGGGAGCGTCGCATATCGAGAACGAATCCAACTGGGCGCTGAGACTCGCTAGGCTCCGGATCTCGCAGGTAAAATAAGAGCGTTTGAGCTCGCTGAGCTCGTTCCGAGAGAGGTGCAGACTTGAGGTACGTAAATAGCAGGGAAGAGATTATGTTTCTGGTCGTAAACTCGCTAGGGCCCTTCTTCTCCTCATCGAAGAGCATGTGAAGGAGGGCCGGAAATAGGGTTGCTTGGATTTTACTCAGATTTTGAAGAGCGAGTGCAGTAGTTGCTAAGGCCTTGAGGCACAGAAGCACTTCATGAAGTAAAGCATCCTCATGCTCCTCCCTATCGAGAGTTAGCGGCCGGACTAGTTCAGAAAATTGGGAAGAAGCACAAACCTCCATTCGACCTCCATGGTCCGATTCAACAATCCGACAATTTCATCCATTCCGCCGTGGCCAATGAATTCATCTGTCCATGCAACTGTCTCATTCCGAAGAAGCAGTCTCAATTTGTGTAGACGGCCCACCTCAACCAATTCCGGTTTCTGAACCTTCCTCAGATAAGATACAAAGTCATCTGGACATTGGCCTTTTGCCTTTGCAATTAGGGTTTGTGCAACTGATGCACTAGAAGAAGTCAAGGATTTCCCACCACTCATGCTCTCCGAAGACTTGGTTCGAGAGTGTTTTCCAATTGTACCTTCTGGCTTCGTCTTCTTGCTCACCGACACGGTTTCCTTGCTGCTCTTCCTTGACAGCGTAAATGTCCGACTTCTAGGTCTCTTGGACTTAGTTTGCACAATGTCTTGGTCACCAGTAGTAACATCAGCACTTGAGTTACTACCGTTCGTCCCTGGCCTGCTATTCTTAGAAGTTGCAATCTCTGCCCAATCCTGCTTAACAAAGTCCTTCTTCATCGATATTGCTAGACTCCGCATCTTGCCCCGTTGGTGTTCTGGAATGTTTCGTCTATCCAACATGGCTTCAAATTCGCGGTCAACATCCCTGTCATCCAAGATTTGCTCACCCTCCCGTGCTGTCGGTTTCTGTTTGGCATCTCCAAATCCAGGTAGCGCCGCTAGTACTCGTTGGCCTCTGTTGGGAGCTTTATCCAATGTTGCAGCCTTATCCGTAGTCTTCCGATCGAAACTTGGTCGTTTATCCCCAGAAGCCTTTCGTAGTATCTCAGCACTATGTCTCGAGCTACCTCCACTAACACGCCTGGTGATATCCTGAATACTGAAACTGTGTGGGAGGTATGTCGATTTCGGTCGTTGAGGGCCGTCGTCACGCTTGGTGAGGGATGGTTGAGAATCTGGACCATTGTAAAAATCCCGTTGCTTCCCCGGATAGTATTGTTGTGGTGTATAAAGATCTATCTCATCCTCTAAGAACTTTCCTCCTAATGGTTGTTTCGCAAAACAGTCGCTCGAGAATTGTGCATAAATAGGCGGCCTCGATGTCTCGGAGGGCAGTATTGGGCTTCGATTTTCCTTGTCCTTGGCTTTCCGAGCCTCTTCCTCTTCTGCTTGCTTTCGTAGATTCTTCGAGGATTTCGGGCGCGAGAGCAGGTTGGCGAGATTCGTTGATGATTTCGTCTTTTTTGGCTTATCGTCCTTGGCCCCTTTCGCCTTGGTTTGTTTATCTGTATCCCTGCCGGCTAAAGATTTCAATGAGATGGTGCTCAATGTCTTCTTGTGCAATGACTTGGACGACCCATCATCACTGGTATATGGGTGCCACCCCTCCTTCCTTGGTGATGTGGGCGGCTGGTTTTGTTGATTATGATGTAGTTCCCCCAGAGCCCTGTGTTGAGGATGTTCTTGTGGAGGGAATGGCATATCTGGAGTATTATCATATGATGGTGAGGCAACGAATACATTAGTGGGAGAAATCGGAGACAAGACTTCGCCAGCAGATGGGGTCCTTTTGCTGAGGAAGCTGGTCAACACAGACGATTTGACGCGTTTGTGTTGGTATGTATCCTTTGAAGGATACTGGGAAGAAGCCATGTTGAGAAGCAATTGAATAGCTAAAGCTAAAGCTAATGGTGATTCCGTCAGCAAAAATAGGAAGATGTCTTCATGATGATAGTGAAGGCGGTAAAGTTTAGAGGTCGAGGTTCCCGATGTGGAGCAATATTTACAGATGGTGTCGCCCATGGCGACGACATTCCCCGCACGCAATCACGTGTATTTTCCTACTACTTTTCTTTTCGTGTGACCTTTCAGGAGTTAGATCAGTGAGAAAACATCACGGTTTCCGTATCTTAAAGTCTACTTGTAGGTTTTGCTTCTCTTTAATTACAACATAAAAGGGCAACATTAAGTGTAGATATTCAGATATTTCCAACCCCTATCCGACACAAGCTAAAATTGATTAGAACTCCCCTTCAAACGTGAACGATCATCAGAATTCTTGGGAAGGATTCACATTACTTTTCGTTATTCTTACAATTAATAAGACATTAAACAGATATCAGTTGGCGTATCGTTTAATCTCAGTTCTACCTACAACTTGAAACCAACCTCATCAAGTGTCGCGAGTGCCTACCTAGTTACATTCGTCTAGCACTTAGATGCAACAATTCCATTCCTTAAAGCAGAACTTCAGAAGTGGGTAGGAAATGATATATTGTAAGTAATTTCTGGAACCTGAATCTATTGCTGAATAACAGATTATTTCTACCAAAACGCCCAAGCAAATACTCGCTCATATGCACAACTATACATGCTGTCTACTGTAAAATCGCAAAGCACCCCCCCCCCCATTACCAACTAAACACCCCTCTCTTTCTATCAAACCCACCCCTCAATTGCCTCTCCGGCTTCACCACCTTCCCCTGCAAAACGGTAAATTTCACAATACCCTCACAATCCTCCGGCCGCACCCTCGCAATCCAGATACACTGCGCAGCACCCGTCTGCTCCTCGTCCTTCTCCGCCTTCTTCGGCGGCGGACACACCTCGCCATCCAACTTCCCCCTTTCCACATCATCCAACCCAAACGCATCCGCTTTCCGGTAAATCATAACGTTGGCCGAGTATTTATGTCCGCCCACATGAGAGATAAAATATATGCCCACGCCACCCGGCCGCTCGTCGTCTAGGTCCCGGAAAAGTCCACATATCCGGAGATGGCGCTCTAGTTCTTTTCGCAGTAAAGGGGCGCTTTGGCCACAGCGTGCGTCGCGGGTTTTCTGGGAGCAGAGGAGGATGAGTGCTCGATGTGGAGAGGGCCGTGATGTTAATTGATCTGCGGTGGGTAGAGGATCTGGTAATGATGCAGGGATTGTAACGGGGCCTAGAGGCGTGGAGTTTGTGGGGGCTTTGTTGATGTACTCGGAGATTAGGGTGTTGACCGATTTCGGGGTAACGTTTTCGATTACTATGAAGGCGGGGAGGAGGAGGACTGTTGTTGGTTCGGCGTAGGATGAGGAGTGGTTTGGGGTTGGTATATTCGAGGCTGATAGCATGAGTTTCTGGACTGGCTATTAGTATATTGCCAGCTTCTGTTTGGGGGGAGAAGAAATTACGCCGTTGCTGATCTTCACATCTGCCTTCTTCTCAATTGCTTCCATCAAACTCCCCTTTTCGTCTGCCACATCGCGTACCCAGTCCGTCTTTCCCGTTGCAACTAAAACATGCGTACTCCATCCCTTCACAAACCCATAAAGCTGATCCTCCTCATCGATCTTGAATTTCCTCGGGTAATTGATGTGGCAGCTGTCGCAATCATAATCGCAATCCTCCCCGTCAACACTGGGATCTACTTTTCGAAAAAGCGCATCTATAGGCGTATTTTCACCCGATGTCCTAGGCGCAGGTGTCGAAGCTCCAGAAATGGACTGTTTTGCGGACTCAACCAGGGACTTCAGAGACAGGGCCATTTTTTGCTTTGCTGGCATTGGATTTCCATTTCCCTTATTTTGAGCGGAAGGTATTTTGTTTTTGTATGACATGTTGGGGCAGGCAGGGTGGGGCAAGGCGGGGTGGGAACTCCGTAGTTGAGTTGACTCCGAAATCCGTATCAGATCCGCTCCGCGTGTACCTTACCTTATCAGATGCCGCTAACAATTCAATGTCTCGGAAGCACAACAACGGAAGGGTCGGTCCTCTTTCTTGGTGAGGAGTGACTGGACTGGCGACGCCGACTTCTTATACAATTCCAATTGATAGTTGAGAAGTGACAACGCTGACGTCTCCCGTCAAGGATGATGCGTCAAAGGATCTGCCTTACTACTCCGCGCATAGGATAGGCAGCCATATCGCTGAATTTGGGTCCTTCCAGTTAAATCCGACTGCTCTCTCGGCCGAGTTCGGAGTTTAGTTATGCGCAACACCACTGGTCCGGCTCTGGCTCTGGCTCTGGCTACACGGGATGATATCTAGAATAATGGCTCCCCGGATTATAATGTTTGCTGGAGCCCCAGATCTAAAGTCACTAGAACGGGATGAAGCTAGCCTGCTCACAACCTTCAGCCCCCCGTTCGTACGATTCTTCCATCTAGACGGGTATGAGAGCCAAGTTGCTGCCTCGTTTGCAGCTGATGCTACACAGGCCTCGTTTGAGCACCCGGCTTGGAGGTCCATTCCTTTAGAACGGCAACATCTACCGACTGGCATATCACAAGACCATGCATGGCAGGAAGGAGCCTCGTTCTTCTCAACCTCTGAGATCGACTCGCTGATGGAAGAATTGTCCCAGAAACAAACATACGAGAGCTTTGAATCAAGCTCGCAATCCGTCAAGCAAGTCCTGTCTCAATTCTACGAAGAGTCCTATGCTCGACATCAAGATGTTCCCTCGTCTCAAATTGCTGCTGTATCGCAAACCAATACTTCATCCTCGGGTGGCACTTCTTTTAGTACGACGGATATGACGTTTGATTCGCCAGCCAATGTGGTTAAGAAAGACGTACCAGTTGCGGGAAGTTTGAATAACATCAAAGACACACCAAATGCCGTATATCTCTCCTCAATCCATCCCCAGACAATGACTGTCAATCTCATTGTTGGCATCATCTCCCTCCCGGAACCCCGCCTCATCAAAACACGGCGGGGACCTGACGTGGAGCTCATCGAGGCACTCGTTGGCGATGAAACCAAAGCAGGTTTTGCAGTCAATTTCTGGCTCTCATCTTCCGAGGCCGTCGATGGAGGTTTAAGGAGTCCAGTCCAAGGACTAAGACCACAAGACGTGGTCTTGATGCGCAATGTCGCTTTAAGCAGCTTTCGAGGAAAAGTTTACGGACAGAGCCTAAGGAAGGGCATGACGAAGATACATCTTTTATACAGGAATCGTATTGATAGGACGGATGTTGCGGGTTGCTACAGTGCGGCGGATCTTAATTCTGGGGAACTTGCAAACTTGCAGGTGGAGAAGACGAAGAGGGTTAGGGAGTGGGTCATGAGGTTCGTTGGTACGGGTGTCATGCAAAAGAAGGGGAAGAGGAATGCGCTTCACGAGAGCCTGCCGCCCGATACACAATGAATAGACTCAAGAAAAAGTCTTGTTATCTTGATTGAGATACATCGAATAGTGGAGGGCTACTGTAGTGGAGGGCTACACCCATGATCTCACCTCATCAAACCGCGCAATCTGATGGCGTCTCTCAACCTCCACTGACGCCTATCAATAAACCTAATTCTTCTTCTGGTTGCATCTTCCCCTTGGTCTTCCATGGGGTAAGTTGCAGCCCTTTCGAGCCGCACATGGCCATCCTCTCTCAGAAGACGCTGGAAGTGTGCTAAATAAGAATAGATCTTATCATGACTGTCCCACACAGATCCGGTCAGTATCTCTGCAGTCAATACCTGCAAGTCGTCGTCCGCGTTCGCAGGCCCTTCTTCAACCAAACGGGTTTGCCACGTTATACATGCACCCTGAATCTCGTCAAAACCCCGCTTCTCGATCTTCATTTTCTTGACCTTCCTGCGTGACCTTTAGGAAGTGACGCTCACTCACTGTGGCAACATGATTTTTGTACTTGACCGAGTATTTTGGCATACCCCTAGGCCATGTCTTTGAAACTTTAATCTCCGCTCTCTCTTGTTCATGAAGGCCACGTCGTTCGCGGGCTGCGTGGACCTCCTGTGCTACGTGGAGCTCATGTCTCGACAATTCCGGCACAAACAATCATTCTTCTGCATCACCCGCAACAAGATTGATACTGGGCCTCCTGTACTCGGCAAGTTATACTTGATTTCAATTATGTTGGTTCAACATAATGGGCAGGGTGTCACAGTTTTGCTAGTCTCTAGCCACTGAAGAATACATTCAATGTCGAATTGGTGAAGGCATGGGAGTGCTTGAGCAGGGTCATTGAATGGCTCGAAGCAGATGGAACATTCTTTTGGGGGCTTCGAAGAATCGACAGTCGTAGGGTTGATCTGGAGGTTGGTGGGGTCCAGGTGTCCCGAACGAATGGACTCTCGGCCTGGGGGTGTTCTTATTGAGGCGGTGTCTACATCTCGTGAAGTGGATTTTGGTGATGGCTCGAGGTTGAACAGTAAAACGGAATTTCTTTGAGGGGGGACCATGTTGATGAGAAGTCAAGATTCTTGTCGCCGCTTGAAGTTGGCTTTTGAAAGGAACGGAAAGGAAAGGAATATATGTTCCTTCTTACATCAGGAGTTCACACCATTCCATGATCCATACTTCGACATACAATCCTCGGTGGGTGTGAGATAATCATTCAGTCCAAGAAAGCGCTGATTCATGTCAGTCTCAAAATTCAATTGCACGTTTAGGGAGTCAGATAGTTGTAATGCACCCCCCCCCCCCCCCGAGTTTACCTATGTTAACAGCAACATCTGCTGCGCCGCTTTCATATGGAGCTGTCCTCTACATATGAACCAAACCCCTCCTCAAAATTCACAGACACTCGCTACTTTCAATGGTATCAAAACTTCAATTCCAAATTATCACTGTATCAGTCACTAACACTTGCAAGCGATTTTGTGGAAATATTGGAAGGTAGCGCTCTACATGAATTCATATCCTGTACGCACTTCAATACTCCTGCTACCAATTAGCTAGCTCAACGATATCCTCGCTCGGCAAGAAATGCTTCCACAAGCCAGCCAACCATCACATCACTACAAGTCATGAAGATCCGCTATCATATCTGTCCCCACTCCAAAATCCACCCTATCGGTCGATCTTGACTGCGCGGTGCTGTGCTTCCCTCGCTTCTCGGGGTCTCTAATGTGTTTCTTCTTAGCACAAACCCCAAAAGCACATCGCCATCGTCATCGGCATCTGCATCACCAACACCACCATCTCCCTCCTCCCGTTCCTGCTCCGGCCCCCGTCTCCTAACAAACTGCCCACTCCTGCCAAACTCTTCACGATCCCATTCACTCCAAGGACTACCCGGAGCACGTATGATCACTTCCTCACCCCATGTCTCACCTTCATCTTCAAGCCCCTCTCTAAACCTCAATCTCCTCACCCGACTCAATCGAGAATCATATAACGATGCTCCCACACCGCCACTCCCACTCCCACTCCCTGTCCCCGTCCCTCCCTCTGCACCTCCAACCACACCAACCCCACGCACAGCACCACGGCCATCAACATCGTCACTCCCATCGCCATCACCAACTCCCTCCCACTCCACTCCTCTACGGCCGCGGTTCCCCGGAAAATGAAACCGCATATCAATCAACAACAAGACAGGATCCCGCCGCTCGATCGTACGGATGATACCGCGGCACATAGGGCAGGTGAGAAGGTCGGGGTTGTAGCTGTTGGTTTCTAGTCCGCGCGTGTACAGAGCCGAGAGCCAGGGAGTGATGCATGGGTAGTCGTAGGCGTGCAGGCAGGGGTGGAGGTAGCAGAGGTTGGTTATGGGGGACAAGCATATGGGACATTTTACGGGTGGAGGCTGGTCGGCATCTGGGTCTAGGTCGGCGTTTGGAGGCGGGGGTGGATTGGAGAGTTCTTCGTGAGAAGGAGGGGGATGAGGAGATGGTTCAGGTGCGTCAACGTCTGGAGGTGAAGTGGGTAGTTCTTCGCGGTGAGCAGGAGCAGATGGCTCGTGCAGTGGTGTAGATGGACGTGCATCTGTAGTCTCCCGCTCTTGCTCTTGCTCCTGCTCCTGCTCGATACCGGCTCCGGAACCCAGGGCTCGTGGTAGAGACATAGGATACAGTCAGTCCTCTTCAAGACTCCAACTTGGAAATATGAATTTGGAATTTTTTTGCAGAAATGGTCTCTTGGGCTGCGGAATGCTTTATATTTGCGGGATGGAAGTATTAATGGGGAAAGTAGTCATGGTAGTTGATGAATGAATAAATCTAATCAATATACCATTCTGTCTGTCCCTTTTGTCACAGACTGACTGACTGCCACGTACTTGCCTACCGGGCTCATTCATACATACATACAATCACAAATGGTAATGTTTGTTTGTTTGTGCTAGACAATGAGAATGAAAGTAAGAATAATACTACCACACATACTCGCCTTGTTCAACAAGAATTGCAGACTGGGTTTGGTCTTGGGGAACCAGGACCGAATGAAATATACACAACTGGAACCGGCTTGCTTCCATAGCGTGTTACCATGCCTATGTCCCATGGGGCCGACCCGCACGCACACGAAGAAAGAAACTTCTCTCGGTATAAGTAGAACGGGAGCATGCAAAATACAACGCCTTCGCTACATGTAGCCTTATTTCATACCCCTTGGCCCTTGAGCCTGCTGTTAGCCCCCACGAACCATGAGATAGATCTCCCAAGTTTGAGAAACAAAAACGCATCCATGGTTCAATCGAGGGTGGATTGACCGACCATGCATGTCCTTGGCATCGTGCTCAAATAACTCCCCATGCCCTGTCGATAGGTAACGAGATTCCATTGATGGATTTCGCATGATCGCTGGCCAAGTACAGAATCGTGTTGGCTACTTCCGATGCTGTGATGCTTGCTTTCGGTCCTTGCAGTGCGTGAACAGGTCTGCTGTTGATTAATTCTCGCTTCGTAAAATATCTTTGAGCCAGCGCACTTACTCTTGACGTTCGTATGACGCCTCGTCAAAGTTCGCGGCTTCGATCGTGCTCCCAAGTCCGGTGTCGATAAGGGCTGTCCGAACAGTCAATCAGTCAGTCAGTTTCTCTCTTTTACACTTGACCAAAACGAGGGGTAAATATTTACATCCAGGTAAAACAGCATTACACCGAATCCCCTCATCATGGAATCTCCACGCCGTGTTTTTCGTCACGCCAAGCTGTATGCACATCCCTTATTAAATCCACCTCACCTCATCACCTGAGTATTCGAACTTACCAAGCCATGCTTCGAAGCCGTATACGCAACACCAGCCGCCGCACCACTGACCGCAGCTTTCGAAGCTACGTTGATGATAGACCCCCCATTGGCCTTCATGAACGGCAACACAGCGCGGATCATCCGCGTCGGGACCGTGAGGTTGACCATCAGCACTCGCTCCCATTCCCGGTCTGTGAATACATCTGCTGCCGCGTACGCATCCAAGATGCCCGCTATATTAGCAAGAACATCGATTTTCTGCCGCCTAATAGGAAGCTGAGATTAGCACTGGTGGGTGGCATGCTGGCACGTGGACACGTGACCACTCCGTATCCTCACCCGTATTTCGCAACGCAAATCCTGACCACCTCATCGCACTCCCCTGGCTCTATCAGATCCCCCTTGTGGAAATGAAAACGTCCTTGATCTCGCTCGTCGATTTTCGCATAATCGATATCATGCATATCTACCCCCGTGACCTCGTAGTTATGGCTGAGGAACAGCTGCGTGGTTGCGAGCCCGATGCCTGATGCGCAGCCTGTGATAATGGCTACTTTGCCGAATCCAATTGGATCAATTGTGCGTTGAGGAAGGATATTGTTGCTGTTGTGGTAGGAGAAGGACATGTTGAGGGACGGACAGGCAGGAGGTCTAATTAAGGAACGCTTGCTTGAGAAGGGATTGTATTCTGGATATAGAACAAGAAATATTTACAGAGGAGGAGAAACGACTGAGCGAAACTCAAAGCAAGTATACTTTATACCCATTTTTCTTTGGCGTTGTGATCGCTCACTTTGAGTGCCCCGGCTCTGGATATCATGGGGTGGCATGATCTTTCCACCCCCTCTTTGCAAGCAAGCCACGTGAGCATAGTAGATAATGGCAATTGACGGAACTGGCAGTTAACTTCACATCGCCACAGGCATCGTATGATTTTGTTTTGTTTGGGCGAGTTACCTACCTTACTACAGCAAAGTCAGTAATAGGTAGGTGAGGTGAGGTGAGGTCGGTGGAAAGTTTGTTTCTTTAGAATAACTCGCTAGGCACATCCTTCGCTTATTAAGTGCACTCTCAGATAGAGAGATATTTTATGAGGATGTCGATGTTCCGTCCTCTCACTACCTCAGAACTCACAGCTTCAGCTTTCTGAACTATTCAAGCAACTACAAATCTGAATCGGCATCTTATGGCTCTTAATATGTTGCTCTACTATTGTCGCAAGTTTGCGCAATGGAAACTCGCGCGTACGCGCCAACGTGCAATTATACATATGGTAGCACTACTTTTCATGTTACGTGAGGCAATCTCCCGAGGTCATATTCCTACCGACGTTGGCATTTGTCTCTACGGAGATAATGGTTTGAACATAAGATGGAGAAAAGTGGTGATGATGCCCCTTCTTATATTGTCAAGGCGGCTTTTGATTGGTGTGAGAATTATTTGTGTCTCGAAATTGCGCTGGGTGTTTCAACTAGCCGGAGCCGCACTTTATCTCAGGGCGCCGTCCCACCTTCAAACTTCATTCTAATTTGTTCATTCGTGCCAAACGCCGGTAACCTTTTCTAGGATGCAGATATTCCTTGTCTTCTCATCTCGTTCCTCCCCATGTGGCTTTTATGGCCACCGTCTAGTGCTCGGGAGAGCGCCGAGTGGGCCGAAAAGGCTTATGGCCTTGGTAAGGAGGTACTCCTGTACCCCACAACCAGTCTTGGACTAATAATAGGAGATTGTGGTGGGCTCTGGACTTTTCTTAAATACTTCCTTATTGTCCATAGTTGAACAGTCCATCACTCAATCACTTGTCACTCATTCATTTTCTTCTTATTCAGTCATTCTTTTAACGCAATGCGTTTTTCAAAAACCTTTCTTGCCGCTGGCTTTACGGCATCAGTATTTGCTGCCCCCATTCCCGACGAAGATAATGGAGAATGTTACTGGGAGCCTGAGGAAACCTCCAGCGCGCTAGCAGTCGTTGGTAACTTCACCTGTTCAAGCCCTCTATGCGTTGATACTTACAAGACTGATAGCTACTTCACCTTCTGCCTCTCTTCTGTCATCATCTAGCAGGGTTCCTTTTCCCACTACTCGCGCGAATATATCGGTTTCCAGTATTCCCTCAACGATTTTGACCTCTACTACACTTTCAACCAGTTCAGCCTCCATTATTCTTGCAGCCAGTTCAACTTCTGCTAGTCTCGTAGCCAGTTCAGTATCCACATCTGCCGCTGCCAGTTTAGCTGCCACAAAGGCCGTAACATCAGCCAGCGTTGCCAGTTCAGTATCCACATCTGTCGCTGCCAGTTTAGCTGCCACAAAGGCCGTAACATCAGCCAGCGTTGCCACATCCAGTCCTTCATCTACTGCGGCCACCGCAGCTGTTACTACCTCTGCTGTTGCAAGCTCTTCTTCCAGTGCCTCTAGTGCATCAAGTACAGGAGCTCTCGAATGGCTAGGTGTTAATGAGTCTGGAGCAGAGTTCGGAACAGGCAACATTCCCGGGGTATTGGGAACTGACTACACATGGCCTCTGACCGCCTCTATTCAGACCCTTATGGATAAGGGAATGAACATCTTCCGAATCCCCTTCCTCATGGAGCGTCTTGCACAAGGCACAATCACCGCTTCCCTTGACGCAACATATCTCGCCGACCTAAAGACCATCGTGTCTTTTATCACTGCTGCAGGAGGCCACGCTGTTATCGATCCCCACAACTATGGTCGTTACTCAGGAAGTATCATCACTTCTACATCTGACTTCCAGACTTTCTGGCAAAATGTGGCAACCGAGTTCGCGTCGGACAGCAATGTTGTGTTTGACTGCAACAACGAGTTCCATGACATGCCATCCAACACTCTCGTTGCGGAACTCAACCAAGCTTGCATTGACGGTGTCCGAGCAGCCGGTGCCACCACGCAATACGTGTTTGTTGAAGGAACTGTAAGCATATCCCACGTCACTCTTGTGTTCCTCAAATTCTAACAGTGCATACATAGTCCTATACCGGAGCCTGGACATGGGTCAGTTCCGGAAACGCGGACGCCATGGTCGGTCTTACCGATCCATCTGACAAGATCGTCTACGAAATGCACCAATACCTTGACTCGGACGGATCTGGCACCTCAGACACTTGTGTCTCGTCTACCATCGGCTCTGAGCGCATCGCTGCCGCCACGGCATGGCTCAAGGCAAACAACAAGAAGGGTATCCTCGGTGAGTTTGCTGGAGGAGCAAACTCGGTTTGTGAGACTGCCGTTACCGGATTGGTGGACGCATTGACTGCTGCCTCTGACGTGTGGATGGGTGCTATGTGGTGGGGTGGTGGACCATGGTGGGCCGAGTACATCTTCAGCATGGAGCCCCCATCTGGCACGGGATACACGGCTTACATTGATACGCTTGCCAAGTATATTTGAGTGCAAATCTTGGAGCCGTCGATACCAGTAGTACTGGTTACTTTCTTGTATATATATTCTTGAACCCCTACTTGATGAAAAGTCAGCACGCGTAGAAAGCTGTTTTGTGCTCTCAGACCTAGTGCTATCTGTACGCTTAAATATTCATTGCAATTGTCTGCCTATCCTTCTTTACAACTTTGCCTCGTGCCACTTACCAAGTTTACCCCCGAGTGTAAGATAAATCAAGCATAAGTCAGCGCAAAAATAGGCTGCTCATCACAACCCGTACCTTTAGCCACCACCAAATACTGCTTCCAAAACCCCTCCACGTCCCTCACGAGCTCTTCAAAATCCTCCTCCCCAACATCCTCAACCCTCACATACTCAAACCTGAACTTCAACCTCTTCCAATCCAAGCACAACTCTCTACTACCACACTCCATTTCTTCTGCTTCGCCAGTCTTTGTCTCTGCCCTTATCCATTTCCCATCTCCGAAATGCGGTTTCCCGCAGCCCTCGCAGTTCAGATTCCGCTCAATAGCTTCCCATCCCATCTAGCGCCATTCATTTGCCAGTTCCCTCATCACTCTTGAGCGGCTGAATGCTGAGTTGGCTGCTGCGCTCCCAGTTCGGTATTTCTGCTGGATTTCGGCAAGATGGGCGGGAGTGAAATTGGGCATACTGAGTTCGTGTTGCGGAGAGAACGATTGGCGCGGTTGTGGATTTTTCCACATGATGAATGAGATACGCGCTTGATGTGGGGCTGCTTTAGTGGGTTGAGGATAGGATAAGCTCTTTAAAAGGGTTGTGTAGATTGGTCAGTATTGTAGGCAGGAAGGAATGTTTGTCAATCAAGCTAGGTCTTGGCCTTGAATAAGAAGCTATTCACACTGTGAAAGTGCCGCGGCTTGTAGCAGGGGGTAATGACCAAGATTGAATCCTCTGCGACCTAGAGTGCGAGTATAAATATCTGGGATCTGTGGTATGAGATCTCGATCTATTAATGTTCATACCCCAGAACTATGAACCCTGGTTTGTAACTCTTTCACTGATATTTCGGGTACAGCAAACTATTTCAGTCATTCAGCAAACGTGGCATCGACTCTTGACTGTTAAACTACCAACGAGCTTTGAGGTCCATGGTCCACCTATTTCTACCAATGTCTCATATGCTTGCAAGTGTGCTATGACTGGAATATTCTAGGGCTGCCTCGCCAGGAATCACAAATACCTCATGTCCACCCACCACTCATTTTCATACCCATCGCCCAACACAGTCTCTCTACTAATCGGCACATCCAACTGGCTACTGAAATTCGCTCTAGGCCCTTCCTCCGCAATACTCCCCGGTCCATAATTAGCATACTCCCCAAATGTAACATTCAGCGTATTTCCAGCCACGCCCGAAGACCAGACGCTCCATCCCGCCGGTTGGATTACATTTCCCAAGTAAGTATTCTGAAATACCACCCTAGCGAACGAGCTCCACGGCCGTCCCAGCGAGCTAGATCCCGCTGGAACAGTATCGTTGATCCCGTCGACGGTCGAGTGGCTGATGACATACCAGGAAGGATTGGTCGCAGCTGATCGTCCAGATGCGGTGATGTAGCCAGTGGCTATGGTACGGATATCAACTTTCTCAAACCACGCAGTTGCTGTTTGACCGAAGATAAAATCAATAGCTCCAACAATGAGACTCTTTGCGTATAGCTGATTCCCGGTGTTTGCCAGAATCGTGTCTTGGTACCCCCAAAACTGGACTCCGTAATATCCTTGATTGCCCGTGTGGGCAGAGACTGCGAGATTCTGTCCATTGACGTCCACATGCCCGAATGTGTTGGCGATGTTCAAGTTGTAGAATTTAGTGTTAGTGTTCCACTGTCTCACGGTAGCCGTGAGGTCATTGCTAGCGACGCTGAGTTTCGAGAGGTTGAAGGTTATGGTCGCCGTGTTATGCTCGTATGATCGAGCATCTGTTGTCCAGCCCTGAACGGTGAGATTTGAGCGTAGCAGTGGAATGTAAACTTGCTCGATGTAAGTGCCTGGGTATATGAAGAGAACCTGAGGTATTGTTGTATTCAACGATAATGCATTTACCCCGCTTTGGATTGTTGTAAAGTTTCCAGGGTGGGCTGAGCTGCGTCGACGATGATTGCGCCCTTTGGAGGGGATACTCGGTTCCATGCCTTTTCGGAATAGATGGAGAAACTTGAAGGATCCGGGAATGGCTGCGCTCGCTCATCCTGCAAAGCAGCAGATGCACAGCTAAGGAAGAATAGTAATATCAATGACATATGCATAGTCTCGCAGCCGGTATGGATACAGGAGCAAATAAAAGCTTGAAGAAGAAGAAATTATAATATTACTGGGCAACTTATACAGAGCTACAAGACTTCGGAGCTCGGAAAAATAGAGTTTGGATAATTGCTAGATCACTAGTACTGGTAAATATAAATAGAACATGGTCCGCTCTGTTTGGTTGGGAATTTGTTTTCCCGGTCTATGAGCGGGGTTGGCATTGTCGGGTCGTAAGGATACACTTCAAAGTCTAATAGAGCTCAAAAGAAACGCTACAAGACACGACACTACCTTCAAAAACAAGACTTTCGGTACTTCAAAGACTCAAAAGAATCAAGGGGACTAGATCAATCACATTTGTTAGTTGAAGATCAGCCCAATATCTTAAACTTCAAAGCTAAACAGCGAAAGACAGCACTTGCTGAGCCCTGGCGTATGGGATGGTAAACGTATCCGTAGCCTTTTTAACTCGGCTTCAAAACATTTTACCCCTTAGAGCTGAATATCAAGAAGATGTTGAAGATACGGAGTAATTGAAGACAATTTCAAAAAACATGGTCCAAGAGGATTGCGGGGCTGTGAATTTCCCTAGAAAAGTCATATCCAATCACATCATCATTTCTACTGTACACCCAGCCATAAAACTCAACAGCAAACCTTAATCATAAATCAATGGCCAAAAATCTCAATTAAAATGACCAACTAACCCATTTATCCATCACAAACCTCTCCGCAGAACCCGAAGCATGGCACCTATCTATCGCAGATGAGATGCTCCACCTAGCCTGCCGGATCCGCCTCTCCATATCTGTTCCTTCGGTAGGCAAATCGAATAGATGGCTCTGTTCTCCGCTTGGAATAGTTTCTGTGAGGGACATTCTATGAGTACAAATTACTTCTCCATCAACCTCAGCGTCGGTCCGGCACTCCACAAGACGAAGCACGACGCCGTCAGGACCTCGAATCTGAGCCACTGGTGTATGAAATGTCCAGTGGTGTGCCCCGAGCGTGCTTTCTCGCTCCATGTGAAATATATCACTACCGTGTTCAAATGTTTTGCGCAGGAAATGGTTTCTTTCGTCGATTGCTTTGTCCAACTCGTGCTGCGCTAGCTGCTCTAATATCAATTGATGAGGTGTTTTGTATCGCGCTGCTTGCGGGGGAAGAGAGAACGGATGAGGTTTTTTGAGATTGATCGTCCATTCTAATTGCATCGTATTCTTTTGTCGTAGAGCGCCTTCCCATTCTTCCTGTCTTCTGCTAATTTTCACTTCAAGCGTTCGCTGGACTCGGACTCGGTGTCCATTTCTATCGTGGCCCTCGACGTCCACCTCAACATGCGTAAGATTACCCGTCTGGTCAACTTGGTCTTGCGTATCGATCAGGTAGTCGAATGCTAAGCAGCTATCCTCATCCCAAGAATTCCTCAAATGATTCTCCAGGTCTGGTGCTTCTCTGCTTGTCGGGGACTGCCAGGTAACGTTTTCAAAATCCCCAGATTCGTCCCTCGCTATTTCCTCTTCTAATTCCTCGTATTCTACTGGGGTCCACATCAACTTCGTGCCTTCCTGCTTCCGCAGCCATATCAAATGCTGCTGCTTCACCCTTTGTTCGCGGTTTCCTCGCCAACGTTCTATTGCTTGCCTGGCCCCCGCGTTTATCTGTTCGTCCAAGAACCCGGAACCCTGTAGTGTGGATTTGGCATTTCCGTTTGATGACGGTTTTATTGTTGAGCTGTTCTCTCGAATCGGTAGTTCTCGTGTGTCCTCCATTATCCTCTCGAAGGGATTGTTCATGTCCTCCTTTGCCATTGGCAATGGAAGATTAGGGGAACACAAGTTAGACATCTTGGGAGTGCTTGCAAATTTATTGTGTTGGTAGCTGGTCTATTGAGGTACAATTTCGGACAAGTTAAGCCTGGGAAGAGACAAAGACCGAGTCGATCTGCAAATATTGGTTGATGAGTATTTCTTTAGATGTTCGCTTCAATCAATTTTTTCTTTGTCTCTTGATTTCCATACACGGATGCAGCCAGCCTGTGGCCAAGTTTCTTTTCGCATTGTCTTAATGCCTTGTCCGAATGATGCTATTAACTAATGAGCCTTTCCTAGAAAAGGTAGTAAAATACAATGCATAGGCATTTAATGTGTTATAAACTCCTTAAAATTCTCGCTACCCCTTTCCACACTCACCTAACATTCCCTACCAGAATTTATATAATTCCCACTCATATACTATACCATGTATGCCGTTCCCAGCTTAAAACCATTCGGATTTTAAAACAATCTAGCTCAGATTTACGGACAAGTGAGAAAGTTGCACTCTAATTGTCAGGCGAAGGCATGACTTTTTGGCATGGGGCATGGACTTGGCAAATCCATGGAATAGCACACATATGAACAGCAAAATGTAGCCAAGCATGAACGAACATTCCAGGACCGAAAATTACGAGGTTCTTGAACTCACGATGTATTCTTATCTGATAGCACTAACTACTATAAGCATGCTTTTCATCCTCATATAACTCCTTCCATACGCGCCAGCAAATGCAGCCATTCCAATCCATTCCAGTCCAGCCCGGTTCAATTCCACCGAAAAACGCCATGCTAAAGCCAGCTCAATTATAAAGATGATTTTTGTGCACTGCACCAGAACCCCAAATTCCCATTTCAGGCAATCACTACTAGCTCGTTCGCTCACTCATTCGCCCTGAAACCTCATCCCAACAACCCAACTTCCCTCAAACTCTACTCCTCTTCTAACCCTCGTTCCAGTTTTCTTCCACACCGCAGCCCCCAACCCAATATCCGCCACGAAAAGCTGCCACTCCCTCCCCTTCGAGTTCCCCACTCCATCCTCATCAGGCACACCCTCACCCCGCGCCATCGCCTCCAGCAGCCCCTTCTTCGGGGCTCCCATCGCAACGACGAATTTAGCATGTATATAAAGCTTGCGCCCATCAATGATGCTGACTTTGCCATTCGTGGGTTCAATACCCGTAGGCACGTCAATAGCGAGGACAGCTGCCCGAGAGCGGTTCGCCCACTCGATGAGTTCGTACGCCGAAGCCTGGTCGCCTGTCCTCAGCTCCTCGAACGAAATAGTAAGACCCAGCAGGCCGTCGATGATCAACTCAATAGGGGCGCCGAGATTCTTCACATATTCTAACAGCTGGGCTTTGTTGAGGACCTTACCGCCAAAGCAACGGAAGACTTTGAGCTGACGACTCAGGCCCACGAGAAGTTCTGATTCTCGCTCTAGACCCAAGACGCAGATCACGACGTTGAGGCCGTGGTTACGAATATGGCGGCCTGCTGCGACGGCGCGGAAACCGCTTTTGTTGTTTCCGGCCAAGATGACAACGGTTGGGATCGTGTTGCTTTTGCCTTGGGTGAGACCCCCGCCTCCAGCATTGAGCGCAGAGAGGGCGACTTCAGCGATACCACGGCCAGCGTTCTCGGTCATCATTTCCTCGGAGAGACCGAGTTCGGTATCAGCGATATTTTCTAGGTTGAGCATGTGGAGGGCTGACAAGGGCTCGCACTGGCGGTCTGAGGGGACTAGGTAGAATGATGGCTTTAAGCCTGGAGCCGGTATCTGCTTATGTTAAAAATCGGGCGAGTTTGGGGTGAAGCATGACTTACCGAATGTGCTCGAGAAGGCGGAACGTTAATTATAGAGCTCCCCTTCCTAGAAACCGGCCTCCGATGCATACTGAATTTACTCTCCGCCCTCTCATCATTCTTCGCCCTCCTCGAAAGCCTTCCACTTCCACTACCCCTCTGGCTAGCCCTATCCTCCAAATCACTATTCCCCGCTTCGCTCTTCCAAAGTTCACCCCTCTTACCCGCTCCGTTTAGCACTTCAAGCACATTCTCCGTATGATGCAAATTCTTCCCGCCAGCTGTACCAGGCTTCGCTTTCGGAAGGCGATTATGCGCAACCAACCGATCCTCATCTGCAACACTGTCTTCCGCCTGGATCTGATTAAAAACCTCATGCTTATCAAACTTCGCCAGATTGCTCGTGAAGTCAAAGTCCCCCATATCCTGCACATCGGTAGCTTCCTCCGTTGCCCAACCATTCTCATCCATCCGGCCATCCCGTCTCTTCTTCCCCCTCAGCGTAGCAAACGGCTGAAAACTTGGATTCGGCTCCAGCAACGGCGTTTGTCTCCAGCCCTTACTCTTCGTCGTTTCCCTAGCTGGCGTGACCTCCCCATCTTTAATCAATGCATCCTTCTTCCTCTGCCGATGTCTTCTCGTGCGTGTTTTCTTGACAACAGAAGGTGCTTCTTCTTCCTCCTTGGTCGCCTCCGCTTCTAACTCCGTGAGATTCAAACCCGCTACATCGATATCGACGCCAATCTCGACAGGACTAACAGAAGACGTTACGAGAGTCGCAGCGGGCGTAATATCATTCAAAGCCCGCTGATCCCTTGCAGTACGCGCACTGTCTGTCCGCTCCATCGCGTTGCTTTGCCAGTGCGAAGGGATACTGGGTCTGCTGGAACTCCCAATTGTAGGCGTAGGTCTCTTCCCAACACTTAGTATAGCCGGATCCTCAAATGCCTTTGCTTTTGGCGGAGGCACTACAGGTGGTGGAGCGGCATTTTCGTTCACGGCTTCAACCAGCTCGATGATTTCGGAGGCGTTGATTGTGAATTCGGGGACATATTTGCCGTTTGCGGGGCAGATTACTGTGTATCAAGAAGAACGGTTAGCAATTGTGTAAAGAGGCGGGGGGAAGGGAGAAGAGGGGATGTGGAGGATTCCATACCATTTCGTAAGGTCAAGCTTTTGCCTGCCTCGATGCTGTCAACTATTCCTCTTAATTGTGCACCGGGGGGTGAACTGAGTGTCACCAGCATGGTGAGGCCTATGAATTGATTCGACATACTTCCGCCTTCTCTGCTGTGTCCAACCCTCAGGTGACTGAAGTTCGAAGGAATCCTGCTGGGTTGAGCGTTGTCTTGTCGAAGAGAATGCAGCGCCTTGCTGCTCTGGTAATCGTAGACGAAGGGGAGGGGTTGTATGGCAAGGATTATGGTGCTGTTGTTCTTGTTTGTCAATTGGGGAGTCAGTGCGGAAGCTGCGATGGGGACGAATAAATTTTAGGACTGTCACTGTAGTTTTGCTCCGGCTTATCGATTAGCCAGGTACGACGATGTAGAAGAACGGGAATTGTACCGCTTTAAGCCGGCAGTAGAGGACTCTAGAGAAAATGATGTTTAGGCTGATTTATTACTGTAATCACTAATCAAGATTCCTACCACGCTTTCTTTACCATTCCCTTCGATCAATAATTTGGGACTTGGTGACATTTGGTCTGATTCCTTTAGTATAGGGGAGCTGAGCTTCTATTGTACTGTATGAATGTAATATAAGGCCGATGATGCTATGCAAATGAATATTTATTTATAGCTATATTTCATGCTACTCTCGATCTTCATTATTGTGACTGTACACTTCCGCGGTGCAGTTGCCAACAAGACCTCTTTCTTCTCATTCCCCCACAAGCGCCTCCACCAGAGCAACCAAGCTGCAGCAACGCCTAAAAATGCTTATAATATACTCCAGCAAAAGGTACAATACACCTGACCCTATCCCTCTACTCACGAAATCATCCATACATAGCCAATTCTGCTTCCTCTTCCTCGGTGAAATCATGAACTACCTTCTGCTTTTGTGTCTTTGCGAACTGCTCCGTGTAAGACTTTTCCTTCTTCGGCTCTACCTTCGCAACCGTGGGGTGCCGCAATGCCTTGTTGACACTATAGAGACTGTTGTAGAACTGAGCAACACGCGGATGTGCCATGACCTTCGACTTATCGAAATTGAGAACTTGAAGACCTTCCTGGCTCGTGGCTCGACTTAGTGCAACGTATGCCTGACCCTTTTCAAAGATTTTCTTGAGATCAATCTTAACTCGCTCGAGAGTTTGACCTTGCGCCTTGTGGATTGACAATGCCCAAGCTAGAATGAGCGGAAGTTGTTGCCGCTGCGCTTGAATCTCACCAGATGGAAGTTCAATTTTCCATTCTTCTGGCATCATAAGCATTCGGCGTACTGTTCCATCGGCAAGAATGAATTCCACAACAGGGTAAATTCGCCCAGTATTTGGCCGTCCTTCCTGTTTGTTCGAGTAACTCGCCGACACGCATGAAGCGTCTGATTGCACGCCGGCATTCTCATCAAAGGAACCTGGTGCAATGGCGTCCTCGCCGCGTTCGATGTATGTGTCAAACGTGTTCTCATTCATGAAGGCTATAACCTTCCCAAGAGAACCATTAACACAAACCTCGTCCAGGTTTTTGATCAACATAACTTGTGCCCCCTTCTTTAGTTCAAGTGATTTTGGGGCCATCATATTGGCGAGCAATTTCTCCCGGAAATTTTCATCTGTTACGGTACCGGTGTCTGATGCGTCGAATCTATAAGATGTGCCTATTAGGTCACGCATTCGAAATGCGTTGGCGTTGTCAACTTCGTTTCTCGTTGGGAAGCTGATTGAAAATTTAGTATACTGATTGAAGTAGAGGTTCGTTTTGCTTACAGTTCAGTGCCAGCTATACTATCCTCGAAAGTGGGAGCTCTGTTTAACCTTTTGAATGCCTGTACAGTCTCATCCGAAATCTTGCCTAGGCGCATTTCGTTCAGCATGTTGGCGAATACTACAATATTTTAGTAAATGTTTCGAAGGCTAAAAAGGGATATAATAATACCTGGATCTTTCTGTCTGAACACTTCTGTCAAGCCAATGGTATGATGAATTGCAGTAGGCCAAGTCCCAGCATCGAAAGCAAATTTAATACCTCTCGCTTTATTGTCGTACTCTGGAACAGGTGGCAATTGGAAGAAGTCGCCAGTGATCACAAGCTGAATACCTCCAAATGGTCGACCATTGTTTCGCATAGCTCTCGCAATTCCTTCTAGCTTATCAAAAAGATCTCCATCAACCATGGAAATCTCATCAATAATCAAAATCTTAGTTCTGATCCACCGATTCTTAGCTTTCGGATTTCTCCTGATTTTCTTGACAAGTGCTGGCACGTCTTCCTTGCCAAGTCCAATGCCACCAAAACTATGAAGAGTCACACCTCCGATATTGCACGCTGCAAGGCCCGTTGAAGCCGTCACAGCGACGCGATCTGGTTCTTTCATGTACTTTTTGCGTAAATCAGCAATAATTGCTCTCATAAGAACAGACTTTCCAGTTCCAGCTGAACCAGTAAAGAAGACACTCTTCGCCTCGGAAATGACTAATTTCTTGACCCTTTCCTGCTCTTCACTCAAGATGATAGGGCCGGAAACGGCGGCATTAGATTTCCTACGACGATCTGTCGCCGCGGCCTGCGATTTATCGAGTGTTTTGAACGCCTTTTGCTTGTCCTTGAATTTCTTTTTCTCTTCCCGAATTGCACTTCCAGTGATATTCCAAGGTGTGTTCTTTTCCTTAGGTGTGTAATCCCACTTCCCGGATTTAGGACACTGGCTTGAAGCATGACCAGCCTTTTTGCAATGTGCACAGATTCGAAGGGGCGGTGAAGATAAAGTCGCACTTTCTGTCTCTTCCTCTCTTTTTGTGGCAATATCATAATTTTCTGCTTGCGTCTGTAGCCATGGCAAAGTCCGTCGCTTCGAGGAGCGGGAGTTGGGATCTTTATCGACAGAAGACTGTATCGATTCTTGAGCTGTAGACTCTTCAAGTAGCCGTTTCGCCCTTTGGGGTGTTACTCTGTGAGATGGTGGTGAAGAGGACCAAGTCATAGCACTGCTGGAGGGGTTTTGTGTCTGATTTCGTTGGCGTTGGGCCGGAGGAAGGGAATATGGGGATTGGGCAGCAGTTCTTTGTGGTTTTGGTGGTGCTGGCATAGTCAATGCCGTAGGTATTTCGAATTCCATATCCAAATCAAGATCATCGTCATCATCGAAGTCATTCTCGTCGAAGTGGACTGCCGGGTGGCTCGATTGGATAGAGTGTTTCGATCCTGAGGAGTCTTCCTGTGTGAGGTCGATGGGAGTGCTCGGCGTATTGGTGGGGGCTTGAAACGAATCTTCTCTGCTGAAGACGGAAAGGCGAGATGTTGAAGGAACTGTCGATGCCACACTACTAGCCCTCTGGTTCACGCTCTGTCGGATATTGGCTGATTTCGGGTGCAGCGGAGCTGTCGTGTTTGTATATCCAGTGAAAGCGCCGATGGACTGAGAAGATTTGCGGGCCTTGCCGAATTGCTCTTCGATGTTGCCATTTGGGGCAGGACTGCTTGAAGAGAAGAGTTTCTTTGCGAGAGGGGGCTTTTGAGCAAGAGGATCTTGCTCATACTTATTTGCGGCGCGACCCAACATCGCGTCAGCTATCGAGGAGTACCTGGGTGGTGCATTGAAGGGTGTGACTCGAGGATAGGGGATAGCTGTGGAGTTCCAGCAACTCGCAAGCAGTCGTTTGGGTGCCGAAAAGAAGGCTGCGTGACGGATCAGGCCAGCCGGCATACAATCGATTGAGGGGAAGCTTGGGAATTGGGATCATTCCAGCAAGCAGAGAATAGAATATAGGCGTCGAGGGGTAGAATACAAAATCTGAAGGCGAGACCCTCGCGTCGGAAGTCGCGACTAGAAAACGCGCTAGTGAATAACAGTCACGTGCTTTGAATTGGAAAGGTAGGTAAATTTCCAGGTTTTTAACGGGTACCCATTTTAACTGCTCGAGTAGCATTGCTGTTCTGTTCTGCTTTTTACTAACCAATTAATCATCGTCTTTGTAAGGCCTCCCTTCTTTCAACCGCCTTCGCGATCTATATACGGGGAGGACCGAATTACTTTACATGGACAACCCTGGCTGTTTCCGTTGTTCCCCTCATTAAATATACACTGAAGCAATTAGCTCTCAGGAACCCTTTCGATAGTCAAGTTAGAGTACCTAGATATCTGTCACATACGCATTAAGCAAACACAAGTCATACATGCAGTTTGTATCCAACCTAGTTTCATTACAGTCTTTCCAAAAACTATATCTTTCCCCTACTGCCTTCCCCCAACCGCATTGATTTGAGAACGAGAAGCATGACCGAGAAGTTTGAGACGGGATGGAATGGGTAGTCGCTATAATAGATTCGTGGCTCATGACGACAGAGGCGAAGGAGATGGCTACAATTCATAAATGCCGAAAGGAGAACCAGCCTAAGAAATAACAACTTTTAGTCGACAATAATCACCATCCTAAAGTAATAAACACATGAAAACGCAATTTGTATGAAGGAGACGCAGTGTTTTGGAGATGAGTAGTCTTATGCAAATGTACCACGGTACGGCCTAGCCGCGAAGAGAGGAAGGCCGTAGCATAAAGAAACCAGAAACGGTAAACAGAGAGATTAGACTGCCCAAATTGATATCCCGCGCCCGAAAAGACCACACAAATTGAGAAAACTATCAACAGAAGGTGCCATAATGTGACGTTATCAAGGAAACAAGAAGCTCTCTACTGTTGGTAACCCCCGAAGCCATTGCCAAAGTTCTGGGCGGCAGGAGGGTTCCACTGAGCAGTCGGTGTTTGCTGGGCACCACGACCATAGCCACCAGCGCTAGCAGATCCTCCGTATGGCATTTGTTGGTTGGGATATTGACCTGGGGATTGCGCAGGCGGTCCACCGTATCCACCTTGCTGACCTGGGAACTGGCCTGGAGACGGCTGGGCAGTCATCGGTCCAGCGGATTGAGGTCCTGGTTGGGGCATACCGCCATACTGAGGGAAATAAGCAGATGGTGTTCCTGGGTATCCAGGATTTGGTGCGCTCTGTGGGCTATAGCCCTGGGGCGTTCCTTCGAAGCCAGGCTGGGTTGGAGCCTTATCTTTACCCCACTTCAAACGGGTCAGTATAGGAGACAGATTACATAACTGAGATCACTTACGCTACACTTCAGAGGGCGGCCGTTGACATTGTAGCCACTCAATTGACAGATCGCCATGGCAGCGTTCTCGTGGGTGTCCATCTTGACAAAGGCGAAGCCACGGTCAGCCTGGAATCTAGTCTCAACAACGTATCCAAAATTCTGAAAGAGAGGAATCAAGTCGTTCTGGGTGGTGTATGGGGTGAGGTTGCCGACGTAACAAGTCGTTTGCCAAGCAGGGGTCTGGGTAACAATCATATCGTAACTCTGGACACCATGGGTTGGGAAGTGGTGATGACCAAAAGGAGTTGTTGGAGTCATGCCCATCGCAGACATGGCTTGTTGCTGAGAAATCGATGGCTGCCCTTTTTGGTTGGCCCAGTTGCAGCGAATGGCGCGAGACCCAAGCCATTCGCCGTCCATCGAGCTCAAAGCCTTCTCGGCATCCTGACGTTCGCGGAATGCGACGAAGCCATATCCCCTGGAGCGTCCAGTCTTCATGTCCCACATAACCCGAGCCTCAGAAACAGACCCGAAAGCGGAGAAAGCTTGCAGAAGGACTTCATCGTTGACTTCATTGGATAGATCGCCTACGAAGATGTGGAAGTGATTCGAGGTGTCTTCCTTGTTAGAGGTGTTCGATTGGTAGGCCCAGTTTACACGGATTTCCTAAGGTATCTTAGCAACGTTTTATACGAAAGACTCATCGTGATACTTACAGCTTGGTGGACCCGACGTCCATTGAGTGTTTGCATTGCCCGCTCTGCCGCTCCTGGATCGTCGTATTCAACAAAACCGTAATTGAATCCCTTAGACTATAAACTAGATCGCGATTAGCGTCCCGCAACCCTCAATGGTGAATCTGAAAATGGAAGTTTTGTGAATCGCTTTCCTTAAGCAATTTCACAAAGCCTAAGCGCTTGCTCGGAAATTCTCGAGGGGGTAACATAAATAAAGTGGACACTGACAGCACCTACATTCTTGTCAGGAATGATTTTGACGTTTTGAACATGACCAGTGGTCTCAAAAATTTGACGGAGTACATCTTCCGTGACTCGTGGGTCGAGGCCCCCAACATAGAGCGCTCGTTTGTTCGGCTCAGGGGCTGCGCGGCGAACGAAGCCACCTGCACTATCCGGAGACATCATCGGATTCCCATTCTCATCCAACGGTGAAGAGATCGCTGTGGGAATGGGGTTGGTATTCTGCGGGATGATGACGGGAGGCAGAGGTGGAGGTGGCATGTGCGACGGGTTGGCCTGGCCATTGCGACCGTTTTCGTAGCCAGGCGCACCAGCAGTGGTCTGCGGAGGTGGTGGGAGCTGTGCGCTCGAAAGGGGAGGACCGTTATCAGCCATGGTAAGGACTTGGAAGAGCTCGGTAGGAAATGCGGTTTGAGAAGGCGTAAGAAGGCAGGCTTGGGACAATTAACGTGGGTAAGCACGGATCGAAAGACGCGCTGATGCAGGACGAAAAAAAGCCTAGATGACACCGAAGGACAAGAGCAGAGCGTGATATGCTGCGCTGAAACTTGCGGCTTGTGTAACTCGAGGGATAAGAAGACGTCTCTGAACTCGAAAATCGAAGAACAACAGCCAAATGATTCGAGAGCAAGACTGTGAATTCCGACAAGTGAGATTTCCCTTGTACGAAGAGTATGTGACGTAGCTGAAGAGGACGCGACAGTTACAGTAATCTGTCGTGCGTGGAAGACGAGCGGAAGACTGAGAAGAGCGCAGATTTGAGGGGAGCTCTTGCGACAATCGAGACGCTTTGCTCTGAGGAAAGAAAGGTGATTTTGATGAGATGCGGACGACTGATGATGATAGGACAAGGACGACTGCTTAAGGGAAGAAAGGAATCACAAAAAGGGACGAGAGGAAGAGAGATGCGAAATGCCGCTCCAGGATTCCAGGCGCCCGTGATGGATGAAGAAAGCTTATGAAGTTCGTGAAGAGGGAGGGAGGGGAGGAAGGAGATCCAAGGTTGTATTCCACTCGCTTCTTTCTTTGGACAACAAGTTCGCATAGAAGCCTTGGAGGGGTCTAAGCCGTGTTGGGATGTAGCGCCGTTGCCGCACTTTTCCAAGGTGGGGTTGAAGCGAGCAGATGATTGGTGGGGAGGGCGGAAAGGGGACATGCAGATGAAGCCATTCACAGGATGCACAACATGTAAATGTGTTTGGTAAACTTGACATTCAATACTATGCTTGAGATACAGATGCTGAGTTAGGGAGACTACTTGGTCATTAACCCACTGACCTCTGTTGCTTGTTCTCTCTCACAATTCCGTTTATTATCTTCAAGCAAGTCAAATCAATATCTGAAAGAGTGATGGGGAAAAGTAAGTGTCAATCTTCCCGTGTTCCTGGAATCTGTATCTAATTCCCAATGCCACTATGCGGCAAAGCAAGCCAAAGTTGATGGAAAGGGGTGTGATTGCGCTATGCAGGACAGGAGTCCTGGGGAACTCATTTCATATGCAATGCATGCAGCTCTGAATTGTGACAAGCAAGCGCTGGGAAGTTATGGGATGAACTGCCACTCGTAACTGGTAAATCTACTTACGTAGTTAAGGGCAAGACTTTTGGAGTCTGAGAAACAGAAGGTTCAGAATGTATGATCAAAATACTGGCATATCAAACAACAATATCAAATGTATTCTATTCTTGGGAAGAGACAAGAGCTAGTACCTGAAGCTAAATAGTAGAAGAACAAGGATGCATCACAGACTCACAGTACGGTAAAGAGGGAGAGAAGAGCTCTTTGAGTTTTTTTAATGACTTTATGTCCCGAAGTACAGTCAAAAACCAGTAACTAGGTATATAATACCAAATATCTATTTATATGAAGAATATACCTTGGAGCTATTATCAATTGGGTTTTGGTATATTTTCAATTTCAGCCGCCATTGAGTCTAAATACGAGTACTTGTACTAGGTAGGTACTCCGTACAGGTAGAGCGGCGGCAATCTCCCCCGCGGCGCTACAGGGAGGGAGGTGAAAAAGCACGGACTGTTCCCAATGACGCTCCATGTTTTACGAGCTTCGACACTCACTACAATACAATTGCAGTATTAGTGTATCATAGTCGACCTATGTCTATTCCAGATATATCATTCGCAGATATCTCGAGATCAAATAACAGCAGTCACATCTAAAATACTTCCAAATGGCACAATCCCATCCACAGGCCCAAGCCCAGGCCCAACCTCAACTTCAACAACGATCGAAAAATCCCTTGGACGTCCTCCAGGGCATGATCAACGGCATAGTGCGCTCCGCAACACCTCCTCACCCTACCATGATACAAGTATCTGACCTTCCCGAAGCTTATAGAAACCGGACGAGCTCTGCGTGCTTCCGATCAGAACGGTTCAAGATCTCTCGTTGGCGCGACATCGAGACTGCCAACGACAATACCCAGTGCAGCCGAGACCTTCCACCAAGCCCTTGATGACCTCGAGTGTGAGATAGTATGCTCCCTTTGAAATTGAGTTGGGATTACGGGTCTGACTTCTGATAGTTCCGTGCGAAATCAGTTATTGCCCGAGACCTTGAAGGCCTACGAGCAAAGCGATATGCGTTAGAGAATCCTGCGCCGCCGGTGATTGAGGAGGCACCAATGTATAGCGCAATACTAGAGGAGCAACCTTTAGATGTTCAGGTCGAGGTGCAGCCGCAACCAGAATTAAATCCCACCATCAAGCAAGAGAAAATCAATAGCCCTGAGAAAGCAGCGAATGGACTGAACAAACCGCAACAGTCCAGACAAGATCCGTCGAAAGATACCATTATAACAGCTCCAGAACCTGCGAAGGGAATACAAGTCCCATCACCCCCAGCATCCTCCAATGAAACAAGTACAACCACGAAACCAATTGGTCTAGGCATAAACACCAATCCAGAACCTACCACAACATCTGCTCCAGGCACTGCCGGGACCGCAGGCCCTGAAGACTCTGCCATCGACTCCCTCTTTGATATCCCGGACGATGCCAACGGCGATTTAAATTTCGACAACATGGACTTTTCCTACAACTCGAATACCAACCCAGACGAGTCGCAAACCCAGAACAACGAATTTGATCTTTCAACATTTGGGAACGATTCTCAAGATTTTACAATGTCGAATATTCCTCCTTCGAATGATGCGAATACTGGAACCAATACAAACAACACGTCTCAGAACAAGCCGGTAGATGATTTATTTGCTGGGATGGATACTACGGCAGGCGGTGATAATATGGACTTGGATCTTGACTTTGGGACACTTGGAGCGGGAGAAAGTGTCTTTGATGATATGTTATATGCGACAGATGGTGATGCAGGGGGTGATATGCAACACGGCGAATTTGATAGTGTGTTCTTCGGTTTGGATAATTAAGATACAGTTG